GTAGTTCAAGTCCTACACTTCCTAGTCCTTACATGGGAGATAATAAAGACCTAATTAATTTTAATTAAAATCTAACTAAAACAAGACAAGCTAACCTTTTTGTGAATAAGAATAATTTTTGGCTTTTGAATTGCATTCCTTGTTTAAGAATGTAGGTGTGGCATCACTTTTTCCTGCTTGCAGGAGATAGTGATTGAACATGAAATCTGCTTCTAGTAGCAAGCTGGTTCTCTGCATTACCTTTCTGGACCACATTGTCTGTCACTTCTACTTGTCAACAGGCCCTTTATCAGACTTAGAAGATGTTGAATTGATTTTATCATTTGGCCTTTAATACATGAATAGATAATTATTAAATTCTTTTCTCATAACTCCAACATATTCTATTGACAAACTTAATTATTTTTTGGTTCAAATGTAGAGATTTCATTTGTTAATGTTATGCCACTTTTAATAATCTTTTCCCGCTTCCTATGCTTAGGTGTGGTTCATGGGTGAGCAATCACATATCTGAATGGAGTTTGACAATGTGAGTTTGCTTTTCCTCTTGTTGGTTCTTATTAGTGTTTTTTACTTATGTGATGTATGTAATTAATGTCATCTAGTTTAGAGGTGAATTTTAGGAAACATTTTTTTTCCTTAATATATTTTAAGTTGGACTATGAGGTACACTAGCAAGTGTGCACAATGTTTGCTTTTCATATTAATTTGAAGTATTGGAGAACTACCTCGATCTTCAAATGAAACCAGAGGATGGTAAGGAAGCGAGGCAACAATCTCAATCTCAGGACCGGTGGGTTCAAGGGGTGCTTAAAGAAGAATCTCATGGCTCATCTTTTCCAGATGTGAGTAAGAGGGTTTCTTCTCTCTAGAACCCTGTGACTAATCCTCATATGTATTCAACAACGTAAGGTATCATTTTTTACTTCTTGGGTATATATTCTTTATATAAGGAGATTTCTTAAATGAGTTAACATACTTAGCTTTATAGGCCAATTTTACAGTGACACTTCCAAGAGCCCCTCTTACGGGTCCAAAGTTTGCTTGAATAATATAAGCCAGGTTGGCTAAGGAAGCTACAGCAGTGAGGTGTGTGCTTGAACCCCTTTTCCATCATTTTGATGTAGAAAATGATGGGTCATCAGATACAGGAGTTGCCTGTTCTCTTATATTGTATCTACAGTTGCTTTTGGAGGAATCAGGTTACATATGGAATCTTAATGCTCCATCTTATTGCAATTATTTTTTATTAGTTTTTTTGTGGATATAATTGATATGATTTTTATCTTTTTTTTTTTAGTTTAATCTCCAGGAGGAAACTCCCACCTGTTGCCATCTATCTTGATCAAGCACTTGGATCATAAGAATGTTGCCAAACAACCTCGTGTACAGATTCATATTGTGGACGTTGCCACACAACTCGCACAAAATGCGAAGCTGCAGGCCTCTGTTGCTATCGTTGGTGCAATAGCTGACTTGATTAAACAGCTACGAAAATGCCTGTAAAATGCAGCTGAATTATCTAATGCTGTGGATGATATGGCTAAATGGAATGCTGATCTTCAATATGCTTTAGAAAATTGCATTTCATAACTCTCAAAGAAGGTTTGTTATTGTTTATGTTTTTTATTTTTTGAAGTGTGAGTTAAAAATATTTATGCAGGCATGCCATATATGCAACTGCCACACAACTGTTTGTACTTAACAGGTTGGCGATGTGGGAGCCATTCTTGATATGATGTTTGGTTTGCTAGAGAATATTTCAAATAATTCTGTTATTGCTAGTAACAACAATCTTGGCTGTTCATAGGGCTGCTCAGATTATTTTCCATCCCGAACATATCATATTACCAGAAGGCAAGTGTACTTGTTGAAATTACAGTATACTGTTCAGTTTTAAGAAATTTGGAGAAACATCTAATTTTTGAGGATTTCTGTTTCAGGCTTTTCCTGATGCTCTGTTTCATCAGTTACTCCAAGCAATGGCTCATCCAGACCATGAAACTCGAGTTGGGGCGCATAGTGTAGTCTTTGTTGTGCTAATGCCATCTCGGGTCTCCCTTTGGGGTCAGATCAGGGCAAGGATACTTCACAAGCTGTTTCTAGCATCTTGCCAGTCTCTGCGTCACAGAAAGTAAGAACTGGAAGTTTCTCCTTTCAGGATGAAGGTAAAGAAAAAGAAAAACTAATGGATGGAGGACTGTAGGAGGAAAGTCGGGTACCAAATGTGATGTGAAACACTCTCATAGTCAGTCATATAGCTTTAAGTGTGCTCTAACTAATGGAAAAACAGTATGAAACCCCAAAATCCTATAATTTTAATTTAAAGAGTGTTTTAGTAATTATGTTTAATCATCTACCTGTATAAATTATTTTCCGCAGATAACTTCCTTCCGACTGAGTAGCCATCAAGTGAGTCTTTTGCTTTCATCAATCTGGGTTCAAGCAACATCTGCAGAAAATAACCCTGCAAATTTTGAGGCTATGGCTCACACTTATAACATTGCTTTATTGTTTACGCGATTTAAGGTAATTCATGTTTATGTTATTTTCCAGTGTTTAAACTTTTATCTCCTCTGTGTTCCTTTTTCAGATATTTTGAAAAAGTGGAACAGATTTTGCATGGTCTCATCATTTTTCTTTGAGTTTTTATGGGATGCTTGAAGTTTGATAAATTTTTTTGTGGTGCATTTGCTTATGTTAGGGGCAGTTTACCCATTCAAAATCAAGCATGTCAAGGTAGTGCTTCATCTCTTCTATAACACCAATAATGTCAACAGGTTTTTTAGAAGTCCCATAAGAGAAAGGCAACAATGATTTTATCATAAAGATGGGGCTTCTCAATAGGATGGCAATTGCCTCAATTGAGCGATTGAAACTATTGATCCAGTGCTAGAATGAGATTATAAAGATCAATCGATTATCCCATCCTTATAAGGGAATTGGTGATTGCTTTCTTATAACATTGACAAATGGAGGTGTCATTTCTTTTTGGAGGGGCAACACTATACATATCCTCGAATTCCTATCCTTTTTTTTTGGCTTACTTATAAGTTTCCTTTAATCTCATTTGTCTTCATATTGAATCATTAATGTAGCATCTGCCAAATTTTGAAATCATGAGCTTGCAAAAAGATTCGTTGTTGATTGGTTAATGTCACTGAATCCTGGCCTGATATTTTAAAATTAAATGTAAAAACAGGCTCAAAACATAACTACTGAATCTTATTTGGAGTGACCTTTGAAGCACAAGCCAGACAAAAGTGACTACCTAAAGAGATTGGTCACAACAATCAGTTTATCAGTAGGTGCATCTCTTTATATTCTTTATCCCCCGAGACATGCTCATACACGTCTAGCAATTGATATGATCTATAGTACGTCTGCGAAGGTTAGCAAAAGGGAATTCAATGGTTTAATTGATATTTTCAAGAAAACTATTTGAACTGATGGCTTTGTTGGACTCTACCATGGTTATAATGTTTTGTATGTCAAGATTTTGTTGAATGATGCACTCTTACTAGGAATCAGTCTTCAAAGAATCCCACAACTGCTTGAGTTACTTGGGTTGCAGGTTAGTAGAAGCATGAAAATAAATGTACGCAGGTACATATAATTGATACGATTTGTTTGTCTTACATAATTAAGACTTTCTTTTGCAGTATGATGGCATACTCCAGTACTCATAAATGGGATTCAAACTTTTGTTCAGTTGGTGACATACCCATTGGATACTTTACATTGTAAAATGATGATGAGAAGCTATCAAGTAAAGAGTTCATTGCATGCATTTTCTCAAATCCTGAAAACAGAGGGTGTTAGGTCTCTATACAAAGATGCAAGTGTACAAGTCCTTAAAAATACTATCATTCTTGGTCTTCTGTGGGCTAGTGTCAGGTTATTCCAAGCAAAATCACCTGCCGGAGAGAGTAAGTCTGGTGATGAAAATGGTGAAGGAAGTTCCAGTTAATTTGTGTTGTTATATGGAATAAGGGTTGAGATGTTGGTCAAGGCATTAATAAAAAATAAAAAAAAATAAAAAAAAAATTATGCTTTATTTTTCATTTGAGATTACAGGAGAGTTGTGATGTTTGACCACATGAACACATTTGATGTTTAATGTTTTGCCAATGGATGTAGTTGTAATGAGATTAATTTAATAGGAAGACAGTCCCATCGATCTTTTACTTGTTACAAAATTCCCACAGCTAAGAATTCGGCAACCCCTTTCTTATTGTTCTTTATTACACAAAATATAACACAATTTATAAGCTATATATGGAGGAAGGTTCTGCAACCCCTCTTATTTAACACAAGTTTATGTCCTCTAGATTAAAGAAAAATTAGTAGTTAACCAACACTTGGTGGGTCTGATGGCAAAAAGGTATTAATACGGTGAACATTATAGCTTTTACCCTAAAAATTAATTTAGATATATCATCGCTCTCATATTTCTTAAATCTTTTTCTTTATTTATTGTAAAAACCTCTCCCCTAATTAATTTTACTAAATCTCTCTCCCATAATTTATTCTCAAGGCCTTTGTTTAATTAATTAACTTATCAAAGTAATCAAATCGTTTAAAAGTATCTTTAAACAAATTAAATTAATAAAATAAGTCACTCATATTAATTTTGGACCATCATTTAAATATATGTATAAACTACGTTAAATTAAATTATTGTACTCAAAGTGTGACCACACTCACCAAATTATCAAGTCATCATTTTATTTATTTTTATTAATCTTTAATATTCTCAAACTCTTTTCATCATATATCCTCATACAAACCTTTATAGTTTAATCATCAAATGTTACTCATCAATGCAAGAAAACTAAAATAATATAAAATATTGAAAAAAAAATGCAAAAAAAAAAAAAGCTAAAAAAATCAATGATGATAATCTAACAGTATCTGGGCTCGAGTTGCTCAAGTTGTTTTTTACCACGGTGAAGTAAGTATTCAATATAAATGAAATTTTTTTGATCTACTTGCTTGGAATTCTGGCGAAACTTAGTTGATACTACTGATTCAATCTGGTGTCGATCTTAGGGAGATTTGGAACCAGTAGCTCGCAGAAACCCTCTGTATAGACCACAAGTACTTGCTTCTACACCCATTGCATCTTCATGTTAAGTTTAGTGAGGAAAGTTTTCTTATCAAAAGTACATTTGAAGAATAAAAGCAAGCTATTATGCTATTTCCTTCTACTCTGGAACAACAAAAAATGATAAGTTTCGTAAGCAAAACCGAAAAATCTTCTAAACAGAAAAAGTTGAAAAATAAATACAGTAACAAAACAAGTCTTGCAAAGCCCGGGGAAAGGAATGATTTGACAAGTAGTGACAGAAATTATAGCATGAAACAAAAAATATAGCCAGAAGTAGCAACATATCTACAAATTCATAAGTAAGAAGATATTTTAAGACCACAAACACAATCTTAGTTTCGCAAACAAACATGAAAATAAAATATTTCGAGATGCACATAGAATCATACAAAAGAAGACATGCATAAAATTCATCAAACCGTTATTAATTTATGCTACTGCAAGGTAAAATTGCCCCTTGCCCAGACCTTTAGATCATCATTCAATCAACCCTTAGTCCATGATCCAAGAGTCTAGATTGCAGGTATTGATACTGCCTGCTACTACCTTTTTATGTTAAAGCAATAACCAACAGCATTTCTCACAAGATCCTAACCAAGACAATTGCACATAGATAAACTATAATCCAAGAAAACATCAAGAAAGTATACACCACCAAAATAACAAAACAAACACAACGTACTGGACTGACCAAACTAGGCCTCACAGCTTGCAAACCATCAAAACATCAAGTAGAATCAAGTTAAAACAAAATGAATTAAGTTGTAGTCACATTACAAATCATAAATAATCAGATACGCTAATGCATAAAATTAAAAAAAATCAATTCACAGGGATTGAACTGAGCTTTTTCATTCCTTTACCAAAGATAAATACATTCAAAATTTCATTGAAGTTATTCCACAAACAGATGGTGAACATTTTGAAAAGAACATGAGATGTTAAAAAATTTTAAAACCCATTTACAGAAAAAATTCATAAATACACAATGGAAGAATTTAAACAAAACCCAGAAGGCAGAAATTGAATGGTGTTCAAGGAATAGCGAGCATTGATTAGATGGAAAAAAAAAAAGCAACTACGGATTGATAAAACTATGAATAAAATAAACAAAAATTAAGCTTAAATTTCAAAGAAAATGTGTACCTCCGGAAATAAAAATAAGAGAGGGAGAGAAGGCGTCCTACCCTGTGTTGGGACTTCAGATGTTAGAAATAAAAATTGTGAAATTATTTTTAATTTATTAAATGAGAAGTTTCTAACCATCATTCTGTCAGAGAATGTCAGAGGAAGTTCTTCTTCTGCTGTCTCTCTTTGATCAGACCAACCGATGGAAGCACTCTAGGTCTTTGAGTTGCCTTTACTTGAAGATGCAGGTCTTCGAGTATATCTCGATACAAGTGTTTCAATATGAAAAGGGCGGTGTCGTAATCCCTCCAATAATTTCTGTACACAGAGACTCAAATTATATAAAAAATATATATTACACATGCAAAAGCACATGTACTCAACAAAATTAAGCAATATCACATGAAAACTGAAGCTACACAGCCATATAGTATTAAGTTATAAACAGATGGGGTCACGTTATTCTACCCAGGGTTAATTTCTTCTTCAAACATACGAAATAATTATACATGAATGCTAATAAGAAGCAATGTTAATGAGTTCGTATGATTAACACAATGCAAGCACATAAAGTAGAAAGGGTAATTTTTCTGCTTTCTAATGAAAAACAATTTTTATGCTCCTTGTTTAAAGAAGCCTTCAAGACCATGTGATGGTCACAATGCAAATACATATGGCATCCAGATGCAACAGAGTGCAGCAGCTTCAAGGCCAATTAGCTTAGCTGGTAATTCTCAAGGTGTTGTCTTAGAGCTAAATTTTATCTCGCTTCCACCAAGTGACAAGTGTAAAATGTTATGAGATTGGGGAGTTGGAAAAAAAATATAATAAATCCCCATTCAATGAACTATATATAACATCTTCAGAATACTCTTTTATACTGACTAATTCTGGCTTTTCTATGATTACAACCATAAACTCTAACACATTATATGCTCCACGTTTCTCAGAAAGATAAACGTCAAAGATGTAATCAAATGTGCTTCATATAAGTCAAAAATGCATGACAAGCTTCCTTGAGGGAACTATTGAGATACCACATTTCATTGGGTAAAAAGTATGGAGTTATCAAAATGTATAGAAGAAGACTGAATACAGCCTAGTAGTCTATAAACGATAAAATATTTTGGTTCAGCATAGAAAATACTTACGCATGCAATCCAATGGCTTGTAAAGAAGGATGCTCAAATGTTTTATCCTCCATTATCAATATGAACATTAGAAGAAGTCCACAAATGAGCTAGCAATGACGATATGTAAAACAAAAGTAAAATATCATGTCTATTATTACTAAATAATGAACCATTCAAGCAAAATGTTCGACAGTGGAAACTCCATATCCTCGATGTACTTAATGAGCATCTTATACTGTGTCCATCACCATTTGAACATTCTTCTCATGGCAATTGGCAAATATTCATGTTCACATGGTATTTTGCAAATTGATGGTAACAGAGGCTACGAAGCTAAGGACTCACAAACAATAAGACACCGGCATTCCCAAATCCCAACTACCCTCATAGCCCATCAAAATAACTCCCAGGGGCTTCAAATACATAATTCATCCATGACGATGGAGCTATGACATTCTGATGATAACAATACATAGGAATTTAAAAAGCTCCTGAGATATAGTTTCACAGGACAACAGTATTGCAAGTATTGCAAGTAGTTACCTTAATACATAGGAATTTAGAAAGCTCCTGAGATATAGTTTCACAGGACAACAGTATTGCAAGTAGTTACCTTTATACATAGGAATTTAGAAAGCTCCTGAGATATAGTTTCACAGGACAACAGTATTGCAATTAGTTGCCTTTATAAACTCGTTTCTTTTCTTCAAAATTTTGTGAAGGGAAGACATCCTTAAACTACGATTATAAACTCTTCAAAAGGGCTAATCTATATTAAACATTAAGACCTTCAGGAGGGAAAATGATGGGTCAAATTTATGACTAATTATAGGCATCAATGGAGGGTAGTAGGTATCAACTTAAAAGCCTGAATAACAGTGGTATAGACACTCAAAAATTAGCAATAACATGATATAGCAGTAAATGCAAGCATCGAACTGCACTACAAACCTGAAGCATGTGATCTATCCATCCTTCTGCACTTCCAGTTAGCCTCTCCATCATTATAACACCATATGATCTTTCTTCTCTTTCTTTGGCATTTTCTGCCACTGCAATATACACAAAAAGATTGTTGAGTGCACTCAAAAAATATGGAAAAGAAATCAACATAGATTAAGTGAAATTTCATTTATGGGATTAGGGCTTTGTTGTTTACTTTTAATATTATCTTTTTTACTACTGAACAATGGAGGGGAACCCTAAGTACAAGAATGGTGGGTCCCTTCAGCCATTGTTACTCATATGTGCAAAAGGAGGACAACATGAAGAAACAGAAAAGCACTAAAACAATATCAGTAGAAGATTACATTAACTTCTAGGGCATCTACATTTCTCGATAGACAAACTGTAAGTACTTTAGCCTGTTTCAATAGCATAAAACTCAGAGCTTCAATACTCACACATGATCAGAAACCAAAGACCAAAACATGTACATGATAATTCTGGGTAAACTTAAGAACTAAAGGTCAACTAATATTAAATTGATACATTGATGTTATATATACATAGAAACATATATAAATGAATCGCTACTGAGTCAGAATTTCAACAAAATTAAATTCTCCAACAGTGAACAAAAAAAACCACCCTTAGATACATACATAATATTTAGTTCAAATTGAGGGGAAAAAATGACACTCTGATGAGACCCCGCTGGTGCACATTTTCAACAGAAGGAAAAAGAGTGGGCAAAGAGGATAAAACAACACTTTTTCCACTCAACAAGCATGGGACAGGTGGCATCCTTGGAGGGATAGGTGGCATCCTCAGATTGGAAGTGGAATAATTCTATTAGAGTGAAAGTTGGGCGTAAAAAAGGTTGATAGGTAAGATTGTTTGCATTGAAAAAGTAGAGGGGAATTGGGTTGGGGAGGTACTGGCCCTCGAAGCCAACAGATTGTCTTTTATTTCTTACTTCTTAATTTTGTTCTGGGAATTTTTCTTATTGTCAATTTCTATTCACTCTTACTCTTATACTTGTTAATCTTGTGAGATTGTACGGGTACCTTCTGAATATTAATAGTAATACTAAACAATTTCAGAATGTTTTGTTGAGTGTGTTTGTGTGTTGTGACAGTGAATCTGAATTCTAGAAATTGTAGTGTATGAGAGTTTTCTGTAGATGGGAATAACAGAGGGGATTTAAAGAAAACAGAAGGGTTCTAACAAGTTGGTATCAGAGCGTAGTGACAATTGGGGAATGGTTGGAACAAGGATGGAAAACAGAATAGATGTTGTAAGGGCATGGGAACAATGAGAGACTGTTTACTGGAAATCCAAGCTTGGATTAGACGTAAGGATGAAGAAAAAGCTAGAAGAGCTGAAAGAGGTGGTTCGACAGAAACACTGGTGAACACTACTGCTAACACGGAGGAGGAGAATGGGGACCCCAACGCAAATACGAATGACGAAAATGCAATCGATGGCCGACGTCGTTCATAATACGCTGGCCGAAAAATCGAGATGCCAGTCTTCGTCAGAGAAGACCTTTACCAGTGGTTGTTCAGAATCAAGTGGTACTTCAACATGTATCACATGGCGGAGGAGGAGAGGCTGAACACGATGGCTGTATGCATGGAGGGAGACGTAATAAACTGGTTTCAGTGGATGGAAATCCATGCTCCAGTCACGTCTTAGGCAGCGTTTAAACTGTCTCTGCTTCATCGGTTCGGAGGATCCCAAGATGGTGGTCCGTATGAAGCGTTGATGGGAATCTGGCAAATTAGAACAGTGGAGGACTACCGCCGCAAGTTTGAAGCTTTCTCTGCACCATTGAGAGATGAGAAGGAAGACTTGCTATGGGCTGCATTTCTAAATGGGCTAAAACCAAAAATAAAAGCTGAGGTCAGATTGGGCCAGCCCACTTCCATAATCCAACTAATTGAACTGGCCTAGAAGATAGAAGAAAAAAATTGGGCCTTGGAAGAGTTAAAACATGGGTTAAACAAAGGTGTAAAGTTTGGTGTGGGTAGTGGGATTAATAGAATGAATTGGGCCTATAGTGGTAGATCGGGTAAAAGCTTTGGGCAACAGGAAAATGGGTTAAAATTTCACACAACTCTAACCCGCTGGTACCTTCAGGTAGCGTAAACTCCAACTCCATTCCACACCAAACTTTTTCTGCACAATCAGGCCGCCAACGGAACGAGAGACCCAGCCATGTTACTCAGAACGATGGTCAACATAGCAGCAGTAGCTTTATCCAACGCCCATTGAGCAATTTAGCTTTCAGGAAAGAATTTCCTTTCAAACAGATGACAGAACTTGAGATCCAGAGGAATAAGGCGCGTGGGGTTTGTTTCCGATGTGACGCGAAATTTTTTCCGAGCCATCGATGTGGAGACAAGCAGTTCCACATCATGTTGGTTGAGGAGGATGAAAGTCAAGATGAGAAAAATGACGTTGGGGGAGATCTGAGTGAGACCGTGAAGGAGTAACTTCCAAATGAAGCAGAGCTTTCAATTAGTTCGGTGGTGGGAATCTCAGGTCCAAAAACTATGAAGCTAAAGGGTAAAATCAAAGGGGCCGAATTGATAGTGTTGATTCACAGTGGAGCGTCGCATAATTTTATTAGCAAGGGTATGATCGAGAAGTTGGGATTGCCAGTGACACAAACACAGACCTTCGGGGTACGTGTGGGTGACGAATATCGAGTGCGGTGTGAGGGAGAATGTAGGGAGGTACCGTTAGATATCCAGGGAACTCCGATTATAGATAATTTTTTTCCATTCCAGATGAACAGTGTAGATGTGGTTTTGGGTGTGGCATGGTTGGAAACTCTGGGGGAGACAACAGTGGATTGGAAAACACAGGTAATGAAGTTCAAGCTAGGAGACAGAGTTATGAAATTTTTGGGTGACCCTTCTCTGAGCAAAACTCTGATTTCTTTAAAAGCTATGCTTCGTACAATTCAACGTGAGGGATATGAGTGTTTTGTGGAGTTTGGTAATTTACAGAAGCTAAGGGAATCACAAGTTGAAGAGGATAGCAGCATTTTACTAATTTTGGTCCGGTATCAGTCAATCTTCTCTTCACTTCCAGGATTACCGCCGCCAAGGACCCAAGATGACTCCATTAACCTTAACCCCGGCTCCTAACCCCCAAATATCAAACCCTACTGCTACCCTACTACCAAAAAAATGAGACAGAAAAACTAGTGAGTGAGATGTTAGCTGCCGGAATCATTAAACCTAGCCTTAGTCTGTTTTCCAGCCCAGTGTTATTGGTGAAAAAGAAAGACGGTGGTCAGCGATTATGTGTTGATTATAGGGCTCTTTATAAGATCACGGTTCCGAATAAGTTTCCCATTCTAGTGGTAGACGAATTGTTTGACGAATTAGGGGGAGCTTCAATTTTTTCTAAACTAGATTTGAAGTCGGGCTACCATCAGATTCGAGTAAAGGATGAGGACACCCACAAAACGGCCTTTAGGACACACGAAGGCCATTATGAGTTCCTAGTCATACCCTTTGGTTTGACTAATGCCCCAGCCACTTTCCAAGCCTTGATGAATGACATATTTCGGCATTTTCTATGTCGGTTCATTTTGGTATTCTTTGATGACATATTGGTTTACAACCATACAAAAGAGGATCATATCCAGCATTTAGAGATCACCCTTAGCACACTTGAAGAACACCACCTGGTTGCCAATAAGAAGAAGTGTTTCTTCGGCCAACGAGAATTAGAATCCTTTGGGCATGTCATCTCGATGGGTGGGGTGGCAGTTGATCCTTCGAAAATTGATAGTGTTTTGCAGTGGCCAATTCCCAAGGATATCAAGGCATTATAGGGATTTCTAGGTTTGACCGATTACTACTGAAGGTTCATCAAGGATTACAGGAAATTAGCCATTCCTCTCATCAGTTTACTTAAGAAGGATGCATTTCACTGGAATTCCGAAGCCTAGAAAGCCTTCGATGAGCTTAACAGTATAATGACATCGGTTCCGGTGTTAGCCATGCCAAACTTTGCTAAGGAATTTATCATTGAGACCGATGCCTCAAGGAGTGGGTTAGGGGCTGTCCTGCTGCAGGAGGATAGACCATTAGCTTTTTTTGAGCAAAGGCTTATCAGCGCAGTTGAAGCTTAAATCAGTTTATGAGCAGGAATTAATGGCTATTGTGATGGCAGTTCAGAAGTGACGACATTACTTATTGGGACGTCGCTTCACTATTAGGACAGACCAAAGGAGCCTCCATTTCCTAATAGATCAGCGGTTACTAAGTGAAGATCAACAGAAATAGGTTACTAAACTGATTGGGATGAACTTTATTATCCAGTATAAGCCGGGGGCAGAGAATCGGGTAGCTGATGCATTGTCTAGAAGAAGTGAACAGGTGGAATTTAATAGGCTATCTGTAAGTTATTTTGCAGGTATTGAAGAAGTAGAGGATGCTATTCAACAAGATGACAAATTGCGTGGGAATGTTCAAAAATTGCTACTGGATCCCAATGGTCATCCACCATTCACATTAGTTGGCCACCATCTCTTGTGTAATGGCCACCTAGTTGTACCAAGGAAAGGGGCCCACATTCCACTACTTCTACATGAGTTTCACTCATCTCCTGTTGGATGCCACTCGGGTTTCTTTCGCACTTTTAAAAGACTCAATAGTGTAGTATACGGGAGGGCATGAAACGAGATATCAAGGAGTTTGTCGATTCCTATGCAGTTTGCCAACAAAATAAATACCAGGCCTTGGAGTCCCGCCGGGTTTTCATCAGTCACTTTTGGAAGGAATTTTTTAAACACTCAGGCACGCAGCTTCGCATGAGCTTGGCATACCACCCTCAAACAGATGGCCAATCGGAAGTGGTGAATCAATGTGTTGAAACGTACGTTCGCTGTTTTATGAGTAGTCAGCCTTGCCAATGGCCTAAATGGATCTCTTGGGCCGATTTCTGGTTTAATACGACATTTAATGGCTCCACAGGTATGATCCCTTTTAAAGCACTCTATGGTCGTGATCCTCCCACTCTTTTTAAATTTTCGGATCATGGTTCACTAGTCGATGAAGTGAATTGTCAACTGCAAATGCACAATGTCATCCTAGCTGAGTTATAGGAGAATCTCCTCAAGGCCCAGACCCGAATGGAACACTATGCCAATGCAAAGAGAAGAGAAGTTCAATTGGAAGTCGGACATTCAGTTTACCTTAGGTTGCAACCATACCGCCTTCGTTCTTTTGTTGTAATACCCAAGATGTCAAAGGTATGTTCCTAACTCAAAATAGTCCTTTAGATGTTAATTTTATGTTAAAAAGCATAAAATCTAACTAAGGGCAAAATAGTCAATTCATTTGGAACGGTATGAATCAATTATCCATAGAAACGCTTAGGGGCAAAATGGTTATTTTGCCTATGGATAAGCATTGAAAAAGTCAAGGACGAGTATGCTTCATTGCATTTAATGGCATTAATTAAGTAATAATTATGTCTAGTGTGAAATGACCAAAATGCCCTTATATGAAGAATTAAGGACTTATGAGTTATACAATTAAAATAATTGGGCCAATTGCATAATTTTGGAAAATAAATGAAATATTTTCCTATAAATGAGATGAAATTCGTTCAAGCCAAAGGAGAGAGCCTTTCTTCAACATTTCTTCCATTTTCTCTCAAATCTTCCATGAAACAAGCTTTCTTTCTCTAGGTTTTCAAGGAGTTTTGCATAATTTTTCAAGGAGAACAAGATAGGAGCCTTGGATCTTCAATTTGAAGGGTTTAAGGTAAGGATTAAAAACTTTAGTTTTGATGTGATTTGAAGATTTGAGGTAGATGTTGAGGTATAATGTTATATATGTAGGATTAAGGTGTAAAAGAAGTCAAAGGCAAAGGATTTGTTGGAGGAAGTCTTTAAAAAGGTAAGGAAGAACCTCCCATGACTTTAGGGTTTATGCTAGGGTTTGTAGATTTTTATGAAACCTTAAATTAAAGCTTTAAGGCATAGAATTAGTTGATGGCAAGTGTAGTTGAACTCATTTATTCTACTTATTGCCTTGAATTCATTATACATGAAGTTATTGCTATTTATGTTTTATGAGTTGTTATGTTTGATTGAAGAAAATGAAGTGTGGATACTGATTGTGGCAAAATTTGTAGTATTGGAGGCCACATGGTATTGAATGGTTGCTATTAGAAGTGTTGATGTGTTGTTTGCATTAGCTTACAATGTTATAGCAATAATGGATGATTATGAGAATGAGATTTTTACACTTCCTTTAAGATGTTAAAGACTATTAAGGGGAGGTTATTTGATCCATAAGTTGACCTATTGGTTAATTGTCAATAGGAATTGATGTGGCATAGTTTAATATGAAAATTCGGATTTGGTAAGCTTAAGGGTCATGTTAAACGTGCTTCAGTATTTCGACCATAACTTGAGTTATAAAAATCGAAATGAGACTATTCTTGAAGCATTACAAAGTTAAGAGATAGCCCTATAACTTTTATGTTTATGCCATAGCCAATTCGTTTGATAAATGGTTAGAAAATAGTCTGAAGTATAAACTAGTTATTAAAGTTTAAGATTTAACATGATCAATTCTTATGATTATGAATTGATTATTAATGTATTATTGTAATTATGTCATGTACTAACGTTTGCCCATTAGTTAGATGATCTTTGAAAGATATACATGGTCATGATGTCAATGCATGATTAATGTTTTGAAATGGCATGAAGATGCAATGTAATACATGTTTTAAGATGATGTATGTGAGCAAGAGGTAATGTAAATGAATTGATAATCCATAGATGAATTAAAAGTATTAAGCTCACTAAAATATGTATTTACATGCCATAAGATGTTAGAGATGCAAATAGACATGATAATGATGCATATCGACATGATGGAAAACGCGTAAGCATATCCTCGTATACCGGTTGAGGAAAGATGAATATATGCTTTAGATGCTAAATAACGCGTAAGCACACCTCTCGATGATATGAGCTCTAGATGAATTTGAGGCTAGATGAGAGGAAAGATGAATATATGCTTTAGATGCTAATTAACGCGTTAGCATATCCTCGTATTCTAGTTGAGGAATGATGAACATATGCTTTAGATGCTAATAACGCGTAAGCATGCCTCCCGATGATATAAGCTCTAGATGAATTTGAGGCTAGATGAGAGGAAAGATAAATATATGCTTTAGATGTTAAATAACACATAAGCATGCCTCCCGATGATATGAGCTCTAGATGAATTTGAGGCTAAATGAGAGAAAAGATAAATATATGCCTTAGATGTTAAATAACACATAAGCATGCCTCCCGATGATATGAGCTCTAGATGAATTTGAGGCTAGATGATATGAAGTGCTTAAGATGCTGAAAAAAAAAAAAAAAAAGTCCGATCGGCTAGACGTTAAATGGTTCATACACATTTAGTTGCATTACATGAGTTACGATGTTATTTACATCATGAGATGATTTAGACTCATGTTAGATGATTTTAGATGTTATGTCATGACATGTGATATGTGTGTACTATGTTTACATACTTATTTGTATGTGTACACATTGATGTTTATATAGCCATGGGATAAAATGATGAAAAGCATATGAATTAGTAAGAAAATGGAAGCATACCTAGATGTAAAAGATAAGTGGTGTGTTAACAAATATATTTAAATAAAGGTCCTCACCCTTTCATTGTTGATTGCTTTACAAGTAGACCAGAAGCGAAGGATGCTAGAGACAGCTGGGCTACACGTGAGGGGAGATGATTTATTGTCATCTTGATGTTTTTTCTTGATGTAAATGATAAATGTTTGTGAAATACCTTTGGAAGCTTCCACCCTATAAATATGTTTTGATTGTGTAATTTCTTTAAGTTTGGATCCTGCGTGACATTTTATATGCATGTTTTGGATATTATTATTATTATCCTTACACAGATTTTTCTAAATACAACTCGTTCTCCAGACATGTATCCCCAGGATTCTCATTGAGGGATATTCAAAGGATACCTGACTGGAGGGGGGTTTTACATTGGCTCGTCAGTCCAATGAAAAACTCAGCACCCGCTTCTATGGCCCTTTTGAAGTTAAAGAAAAGATTGGATCAATGGCCTATCGTCTGGATCTACCCCTTTGGGCACGCATCCATGATGTTTTCCATGTGTCACAACTCAAGAAAACAAAGTACCCACCGCCCACTGCACAACCCTTTCCAGCAGCACTAGACAAAGATCTAGTATTGCAAGTCGAACCTAAGGAGGTTTTACGCATGCGAAAACTTTTGAATGGTACTTTGGCAGTCTTAATCAAATGGAAAGGCTTACCCACATATGGCAACACATGGGAGGATTTCACCTCCATTGACAGCTAATTTCCTTTCTTCCACCTTGGGGAGGGTAATGATGAGAGCCTGATGGTGCACGTTTTCAGCAGAAGGAAAAAGAGTGGGCAGAGAGGATAACATGGCACTTTTTCTACTCAACAAGCATGGGACAGGTGGCATCCTTGGAGGGATAGGTGGCATCCTCATATTGGAAATGGAATAATTCTGTTAGAGTGAAAGTTGGGCTTAAAAAAGGTTGACAGAAAAGATTGTTTGCATTGAAAAAGTATAGGGGAATTGGGTTGGGGAGGTATTGGCCCTCGAAGCCAGCAGATTGTCTTTTATTTCTTACTTCTTAATTTTGTTCTGGGAATTTTGCTTATTGTCAATTTCTATTCACTCTTACTCTTGTACTTGTTAATCTTGTGAGATTGTACTAGTACCTTCTGAATATTAATAGTAATACTGAACAATTTCAGAATGTTTGGTTGAGTGTGTTGTGACAGTGAATCTGAATTCTGGAAATTGTAGTGCATGACAGTTTTCTGCAGGTGGGAATAACAGAGGGGATTTAACGAAAACAGAAGGGTTCTAACATACACTAACGAGTATGATCCATTTGGGTTACGTAAAAAAAGAGCTACACCGAACAAAGTTGAACCTCTGATGAATTTAATCATCATAAAAGTTATTCTTAGAAACAGAATTTTAACTTCTGAGGGAGATATAAAGAACAAAAATGAGCCTTGATTCTGAAGCAAATACAATACTTAACTCTAAATTCAAACTGGTCAATGTATATTCGCTATGTATGTATATATTGACATTATTAATTAGTCTGAGCAGGAGAGTGAAAGCATAATCCAATAAAGCTCAGTTCATAAACATGTAGCATAGTCTATATTACAAAGTTGAGAAATGAAAAGCCTGACCACCATCATGCTCTATAGTAAGTGTAAAGAAACAAAATAAGCCCAAAAACTGAAAAATAAAAAAGAAATATGCCTTTGAAGAAGTTGAAAAGAGAAACTAACAATGAATAGTATCAGAACCCACCCTTATAGAGTTGAATTGGTCCACTATTGCCTGAGAACGAGCAGCTACATCTTAAGTAAATTCCTAACTCACATATATAAGGATATATTAGAAAGTGGGAAAATTTCTTTTAAACAAAAAATGCTCCACAAAGAGAGAAAGAGGAAAAATTTTAAAACCTTAATTGTGTGGTGCTATAGAGAGCTTACCTAGAACCCATATATGCAGCCTCTTTCCACCTCTATGGTAAGGGATAATAACTGGACGTACGGTGAGGAACTCTTTACAAACAAGTGGTTCTACTATGTGTAAGAAACCACAACACAACATCCATAATACTTTCCAGATTTATAAAATATTAAAGACAAAAATAGAAAAGAAAAAAAACATGTAAAACCCTACATGTCATTCACAAGAAAATAAAGCATTCAAAATAATCATAGTCACATTGGTTTTGTTCTGAGTCAAGAAATGTGCAAAAGCATGTGTAACATGAGTTACTGGATTCTTTTCACCTTGTGCAAGACTTTGTGGCATTTAATAAAATACTCGAATGTGCAAGACTTTGTGGCATTTAATAAAATACTCGAATGTGCAAACTTTGAACCAAATAAATATTTTTTAATTTGATTTAACAAGAGGATGTCAGCAGAGGGGGGACATTAGGAAGAAAAAACCATAAACTTGTAAGAGAGCAAAGAGAGAGAGAGAGAGAGAGAGAGAAGAAACACGGAGAAATAGCAAAAGACTAAACTCTCTTTTCCACTATTCTTGATTTTTGTTTATTCTACCTTTGCTATTACCTAATAGACATTTAAAATGTTCACATCAAGTTTCTCATTAAACTTTGTTCACATATACAAAAAAAAGTCTGAATAAACAGATGGTGATTTTTCTTATAAAAAACTGATAATATGTATTGGAACAACATGAGTTACACCGGTGGACAAGCTGCCAACAAAAGAACAAAAAAAATCACGGTAGGGGTAACAAATCTATACAAGAGAAGAAAATAAAAACTAGGCAGTGATAATTTTCCTTATCCTGGCCAAATGAAACCAAATTATAAATATTAACCCAAAACCTCTTCCCAGTGAAGATGTATAAACAAAAAAGAACAATCTTATTCATGAAGAAAAGTTAAATAGTCAAAATCTATCACATAATTCCCATTGTTACTTCTCTTTGCTTAGCAAAAACCAATGGTCATTTCGAAACGTTAAATAAAATGGTTCCTCATTGCATTCACAGGCTTTCACAGTGTCGGTGAGGTGTTTCAAATAATAATTGACATGCCATTATTGCAACATTTTATGGCGAAATACAGTCCACCACTTAAAAGGTCAGAAAAAAATAAATAGAGCATACTGTAGCATTGATATGGATGTGCAAAGACAAACCTATATGCTATAGGATCATATGGGTGAAAAATGTTGAACATTTGACGACAAACCAGCATCTCTTCAATTATATTTTCTTCATCCAAAAACAACTAAAAAACTGGATTTCTAGAGCTTCAAGTATGGAACCAAGTATAATAGAAGTTCCGAAGAAAAATGCAGAAACTAAAATTAAAATCAACAAAAGATGAAGATTTTTAGAGGATGGTTGAAAATATGAATTTTTTGTGTTGAAAATGCATGATTGCCTGAACTAGCATCAAAATACACAGGAATTTATTACATATTACATATCTATGAGCTTCTAAAAAAACATATAACAAAAACTGCCAAAGTACCAGCAAAGTAATGAAAAGAAATTCTTCTAACTAATCATAATTTATCCTGAATTTCCCACTCAAATTGATGTAAAATCAAGTCCAATAATGAAAACGTGAAAGCCTTTAAACTTCAATAAAGATCTAATGAGATTCTAAAGATGAAAGCATTTCACAAAACCGTGAGGAACAAAAGTATACTTCATTATCCACACCCACGGCCAAATGATATAAATATTTACAAATATACAAAATACTTCTCTGAATGTCATGTCACAACACAGAGAATATTCACTCATCCAAAATTTCAATCATACAAGTGTATTGAGGATTACCTATTTCGATACGGATATTTCGGAGGGCAAGGAAGACACCAAGAGGTAATCCAACAGCAAAGAATGTGTGAAGAACCTGATATGTAAGAATTAATGTCAAATCAGTAACAAGATTTACCATCTTAAATTTATAGCTCGTAAGAAGTTCCGTTTCTGACCTTGAATTCGAGCTTTGCGTACTTAATATAAGGGGTATAACTCTTTGGTTCATCATCTAGCATAGGTTCAAGCTTCTTAGAAATGGGTTGCTTTGGCTGTCTATGCTCAAGATGTGACTGTCTATGCTCAAGATATCTCCAACAGACCAATGTGCCAGTTTAGTGTGCATAGGATGAGAAGCAATTTTAAAACTTTTTTTGATAGGAAACTTAGATGTATACTGCTTTGGCAAAACTTAGATAGTGGATCAGGTATCGACTACTACAAAACAACCCATCTAATTATGGTCTAAAGCTTTAGAAAGACTATCATGAACCTGTGCAGAAAAATGTCATTTTAAACAAGGAACCTGGATTGAAAGAAGCTTTATAGTTGAATAATGAAACAGCTTAGTCATTGGGAAATAGAAATGAAAGAAGAGAAGGTGAGAAATTGGAAACAAGATAAACAGTACCGAGTTGATAATATCCTGACAGTAGATGGGGCTCATGTAGTATAACACATCATGAACTGTTGCACTCAGCATGACATGCAAACCCCGTACACCATCTAAAGTAATCTTTTCGACTGCAGTTTCGCAACTGAGCTTCAAACGTTTTCTCCACTGTAACAAAAATACAGTGGCATAAGAAACACACTTCAATGTACCAAATAGCACCAATATAAGAAAAAAAAAGAGAAGATTTTGCTATGGAAACAAATATAAAGTGATTGAGAATACACACTTCAGCATACAAAATGACAACAATATCAGAAAGCAAAAGAGAGAAGATTTAGTTAAGTACCAAAATTAAGTAGCAAATCACTGATATCCAGCCGGCTTATAATGATTACCAGATCATTTCAGGAGCCCGAACCCAATACTGTTTCGTATCATTTCAGATTGACAAGATAAATTCAATCCTTCCTGAGATACTAATTTTGACAGAAATCAAGTTCAATATTACATGACTCTTTTAAATGATTCCAAACTGATGGCAGTAGACTAAAAATTTATGACAACTGTCCAAAGTAAAAATCATTCCTGATGGAAAATAATTACAAATTTCCACATGACAAAAAATAAGCAATTAAGAATAAGTGATGACATGATGGTATATCCGTAAAAATAGACAAATAAGAGATATACTTCTGATGGAACTCCCCTAAAAAACAAATCAAACCACAGCCGCAACACAACACAATAAGAAAAGTATGCACAATCTGAAAGGAATTAAAATAGTATTAATCAGGATTGAATTATCCCTTGACAGAGTGATAAAGTGGGTTTGGGTAGAACTCACTCCCAAAAGCTAGCTCAAGGGAGGAGGGAGCCCAATCACTTATATACACCATAACAACTCACTATTGGGGCAATGTGGGACAAATTCAACTTCTAACACCCTCCCTCACGTTCGGTGTGCAAGGTCGAGGTCCAAATCCATTGTCGCCCCAACCAAAGAGGTGAGAGAAATAAACGTGGCTCTGATACCATGATAAAGTGGGCTTGAGTAGAACTCACTCCGATGAGGGCGGGGTAGCCGATGAGGGCAGGCGCTCTTTGGAAAGAAGACCAACGAGGGCGTTGGGTCTCGAAGCATGGGGGAATGTTAGGATCCCACATTGAAAAGGAAAAGGGTGGGCATGTGAGTTATAAAGGCTTGGACACCTTCCCTTGACAAGCCGGTTTTCCAATGAGAGTTCTACCCAAGCCCATGAAAGACCCATGGCCCAGCCCAAATTGTTTAGTTATTGGAGTGGGTTCCTATCAAATGGTATCAGAGCCACGTTTGTTTCTCTCTCCTATTTGGTTAGGCCGATGATGGGTTTGGACCCTGGCCTTGCACGCTGAGCGTGAGGGAGGGTGTTAGAAGTTGAGTTTGTCCCACATCGCCCCAATAGTGGGCTGTTATTGTGTATATAAGTGATTGGGCTCCCTCCTTCCTTGAGCTAGCTTTTGGGAGTGAGTTCTACCTAAGCTCACTTTATCACAAAGCAAATTCATTCAAGAACAGGTTCCCAGCAGTTCCAGGAGCTGGGGCCCTCCCAAACAGTCCTAAGAAGATATTCCTTGATAAAAATGACTGGCCTCACACTCTCCTCTCTATATACTAATTATTCTATTCTGTAACCACTTATCAGCGACGTGTACTTTCTTATAACCACTCTCCACACTCTTAACAAACTCACCACACTCTCCACATTCACTGTCGCGTCACCCTCATTGCACCTTAATGCCTATTCCTACCCCTGCCTTTTGATTTATAAACCTTGCATATGGGTGGTCTAACAATACCAAGAGCCACCTTGTCCTCAGGGTGGAAGTGAGGAAATTGGCTGTTGATTACATCAAAGGATTCCCAGGTAGCATCAAAGGAAGGGAGATCGTGCCAATGGATGAGAACTTCTGTGGAACCATCAATAAGGGTGCGCACATCCAGGACTTCCACAGGTTGAACTAGAAGTTCCAGGTCATCCGTAAGAAAAGAGGGCAGAGGTTGAACGAATACCAAGCTATGCAGGCTGTGCTTCAACTGGGACACATGAAAAACTGGATAAATACGGGCTGTAATGGGAAGTTCCAACTTGTAGGCAAACTTCACCGATTTTCTCCAATACTCGAAAAGGTCCAAAAAACGTGGGGCTAAGTTTTTCATTCAACCGTGTGGCTAGGGACTTAAATTTGTAGGGCTGGAGCCTAAGGTAAACATGATCACCTGGAGAAAATTGGATATCCCGCCGGTGGTGGTCTGCCTGTTCTTTCATGTGAACTTGTGCCATTTCCAGGTTGTGTTTGAGTTCTTGAAGGATGGCATTGCGCTCACGAATCTGGTGGTTCACATCGTCCACCTGGGAGGGATAATCGGTGAACTTAAGAAGAGTCAGAGGGTCACGACCATATAAGGCTTTGAAGGTTGTCATCTTGATTGACCGATGATATGTCATGTTATACCAAAACTCAGCCCAAGATAACCAATTTGGCCGTTGACAGGGCTGTGAACTGCAGAAACAATGGAGGTATGCCTCTAAACACCTATTCACCACTTCGGATTCTCCATCCGTTTGGGGATGGTAAGCGAAGCTAAATTTCAAAGCTATCCCCGAAACTCTAAAGATTTCTCGCCAGAATTGGCTCATGAAAAGTTTGTCCCTGTCAGAAATGATGGACTTTGGAAAACCATGAAGTTTCACAATCTCTTTCATGAACACTAAGGCCACCTCTTCGGCGGTATAAGGGTCTGATAAGAGAAGAAAGTGGCCATATTTAGTCAATCTATCAATTACCACCAGGATGCTATCGAACCCCTTAGCCCTTGGAAGGCCACCAATGAAGTCCATTGTCAATTCATCGAATGCCTAAGAAGGAATAGGAAGTGGCTGAAGAAGCCTCGCAGGTTTCAGAGCTGAATGCTTGTTAACTTGACATATGGAGCAACTTTTAACAAAATCTTGGACATCCTTCTTAATGCCTACCCAATAAGCCACATTTGCAACCCTTTTTTATGTCCAAAAGAATCTGGAATGACCCCCTGATGGACTTGAATGAGATTTAGTTATTAATTTATAAACAAACCGTAAGCCTGTAGACAAAACCAACCTGTCTTTGTACAATAAACAGCCATGACAGAGTTTGTAGCTGGGTTGGGATCCGAAATCAAGTCCTGAATCAAGTGTTTAAGCTTAGGGTCCTTTTGGGCTTCAATTGCCAAGTCTTCATACTCCGCAAACTGGATCACCGATAGAGAGGTCAATTATGGTTCCTCATCTCGTCTAGATAATGTGTCAGCCACCTTATTAGTGGTTTCCGGCCAATAATGGATGTCAAACGAAAACCCCATTAATTTGGACAACCATTTCTGCTGTTCCAGAGTCTTAATCCGCTGATCCTTGAGAAATTGGAGACTTCTCTGATTTGTTCTAATGATAAACTTCCTACCCAATAAATAAGGATTTCATTTGTGCACGGCAAAGACGACGGCCATTAACTCTCTTTCATAGACCGATTTTTGTTTAGCTTGAGGTGAAAAAGCCTTACTTAGGTAAGCTATGGGTCTTACTTGCTGAACTAATACTGCCCACATGCCTTGGCCCGAGGCATCTGTGTGTATCTCAAAAGGAGTGTTGAAATCAGGAGCTGCCAGAACTGGAACACAAGTCATAGCCTCCTTCAATGATTCAAAGGCCTGTTGGGCCTCCAAACCCCAACTAAAAGAGTTTTTCTTTAGCAATCTCGTGAGTGGTTGGGATATGCTTCCATACCCCTTAACAAATTTGCGATGGTACCCCGTTAGTCCCAAAAATCTGTGTAGGCTTTTCACATTAGTTGGCGTTGGCCATGAAACCATAGCTGCAATTTTCTGGGGGTCGGCCTCCACCCTGTTAGCCAAAATTAGGTGACCCAAATATTCAAGTTCCTGCTGCCCGAACAAACACTTTTTAAAATTCACTACCAATTCATTATCGTCCAATATCCAAAGAGCTTGTCGAAGGTGTATTATGTGGGACTCCAAGTCAAGGTTGTAGATAAGAATATCGTCAAAAAAAACCAACACAAACTTCCGCATGGTGTTCATTAGTGACTGAAACGTGGAGGGAGCATTGGTCAAGCCGAGCGGCGTGGCAAGGAACTCATAGTGCCCCTCATGTGTTTGAAAAGCTGTTTTGGGAATATCGTCTTCTTTGATCATGATTTTGTGGTACCCGGACCTAATGTCCAACTTAGAGAATATGGTCGCTCCCGCCAACTCATCCAAGAACTCCTCAATGGTAGGAATGGGAAACTTGTCAGGAATTGTTATTTCGTTGAGGGCCCTATAGTCAATGCAAAACCTCCAACTTCCGTCTTTTTTTTTTAGACTAACAACATCGAACTGGTGTATGGGCTAGTACTAGACTGGATAATTCGGGCCGCTAACATCTCTTCCACCAACTTTTCAATTTCATTTTTTTGGAAATAAGGGTACCTAAAGGGTCTAATGTTAGGGGCTAGGGCACCATCTTTAAGGGCTATAGCGTGGTCGTGAGTACAGTGTAGAGGAAGCTTGGATGGTTGGTCAAAAAGGTGTATCTACTGATCCAACACTGCTTGAACTCAATGATCGACATCCTCTCACTTAGACATTATACTTCCCTCAATCAAACAACATTCCACCAGAACCCCTCCCCTTGTGTTATTAATGGATCGTAACATGGATTTAAGGGAAACCACTGACTTCACTAGAGATGGGTCTCCTTGTAAACTAACTCTGACGCCATCCACCTCAAATTTTATGGTCAACTTCTTCCAGTTGGCACACACATCTCCTAAAGAACTTAGCCATGTAACACCCAACACAACATCAGCACCTCCTAACTCAAAAGGAAAGAAATCTTACCTAATTCGGATCCCTTGTACCTCCAGGGGGCCCTTCCCCCTTAATTGTGACCCCATTGCCCACCATCACCCCAAAAAGCTTCCCATTTTCAACTGAAATGCCAAGCTTACACACCAACTCTTGAAATAAAATTATGGGATGCCCCACTGTCAACCAACACCACCACATCCGTGTTCCCAATTTTCCCTTTAACCTTCAAAGTTTTGTCCAAAGTTATACCCACAATGGAATTCATGGACAAAGCTAAAGCATTAGCTTCCGGGTTGGAATTTTCGTCACTTTCCAGTGGAGATTCATCCTTCTCAAAGTCATCGTCTTCCCAAGCCAACATAATCTATAATGATTTACTCTTATAGCGGTGATTGGGGCTGAACTTTTCATCACAACGAAAACAAAGTCCCTTTTCCCTCTTATACTAGATATCGGCCTCTGAAAATTGCCGAAAATTTTTGCCAATTCCCCCTCTAAAGCTCGAAGCTCCAATCTCTGGTGCTCTCTCTCTCCTTTCTGGTGTGCGAGATGATGCAACGTGAATGGGATTTGGTGGTTTGTTTGAATTGGACCACCACGGGGGTCCAGTCAGGTCTGGGCTGCTAGACGCTCTTGTGTAATGTTCTTTTGCTCCTTAGTTTTAAAAATTTTGGGCCGACATCCCGATGAGCCTTTTCAATCACATCTTGAAAAGAGTTAGGCCTCACCAGTCTCAGCTTAGCTCAACTCTAATCTCCTCTTTGAGCCCGTTGATAAAGACTCTCATCAATAATTCTTCACCCAAATCCTTCAACGGTGCCGTATGGGACTCAAACTCTTCCCTATATTCAGTCACTGCGGAAGTTTGCTTCAGAGCCACCAGAGCTTCGTGTGTAGAACCTTGGAACGACGGACAGAATCTCGCAATTAAAGCTACCTTGAACTCTCCCCATGACTTGAAAGGTTCTCATCCTTCAACCCATTGGTACCAGTTCAATGCCCTACCCTTCATACACACAGCCGCGGCTTCACCATCTCCGATGATCCACATATCTGTTAATGGCAAAGTAGCGATCTGCTAGGAATGTCCACCCAAATGGATCCTCTCTATTGAAGATTGGAAGCTCAAGTTTCTCGCCTTTCTTCTCCTCTTTCCCACTATCTCTGTTAGTTTCTCGGCCCTGTTCTCGAACAACACCAGAATCATGATTCTCGAAGGACGACAGTGTCTTCTCCTTTTCGTGATAACGTTTTTCATCCCTCTCTTCCCTCATCCTCATTAACTCTCTCATCTCGATCAGGTACTCTTTAAGGTTACCCACATCAGTCTTCACTGAGCTCATGTCCTTCTTCACCAATTTTATCTCTATTTCCACATTTTCCATTCTGTTCTCCATCTTCGATTTGACCATTCCCCAGCCTAGCTCTGATACCAAACTGATGGAACTACCCTGAAAAACAAATCAAACCACAGCCACAACACAACACAACACAACAACAAAAATATGCACAATCTGAAAGGAATAAAAATAGTATTAATCAGGATTGAATTATCCCTTGACAGAGCAAATTCATTCAAGAACAGGTTCCCAGTAGTTCGAGGAGCTGGGGGCCTCCCAATCAGTCCTAAGAAGATATTCCTTGATAAAAATGACCTGCCTCACACTCTCCTCTCCATATACTAATTATCCAATTCTATAACCACTTATCACCACGTGTACTTTATTATAACCACTCTCCACACTCCTAACAAACTCACCACACTCTCCACATTCACTGTCACGTCACCCTTATTGCACCTTAATGCCTATTCCTACCCCTGCTTTGATTTATAAACCTTACGTATGGGTGGTCTAACAACTTCACAACGACATGGTGTTATCATTTCTAATTAGAAAACATAAAAAGGAACTTTCAAATTGAATAAAACTAGGCATATTGAAATGCCATAAAAATGTTTCATCATCTACATAATATACAAAACGTGCATGCCTCATTCATTGAATATGAAGCAATTACATAGCTTATTAATAATATGATCACATAATTTTCTAGTTTTCCAGAAACAGAAGCGAGACTGAGAGAGAAAGAAATCAAGAGAGAGATTATAACTAAGATACACAACACTATCCACAAACACATCTACAATCTCGTCAGTCCATATTAGCTTTACATAAAAAAGAGTCTAATTTCATCAAAACTGCATCAAACATTATGCATTTTCAGATTCTAAACAGCTTGAGATGGGTAATTGACACAAGGGAATCAAACTACATACAGAAGAGAGAGTCAATTAAGCACAAAATAATTTCTTATTCACCTGGCAAGGGATATAAAGAATTCTCTGGATGCCATGTTGGCGTGTAGCAAGATGTTGTTCAGCAAGACTTGCTGTGATATGGCGAAAGTTGCCGACATCATCAACCAAATTAGATTTCTCCAACCTCTGACCAATACCATGTACCATAAAGACAAGGTGCTTAACTGGAACCTATATCAATCAAAACACATAATACAAGATTAAAATCTACTCAAAACATATTATTCTAGTTTAAATAGTACCCAAGAGGCTTGTGGTTGGATCCACATAACAACTCAATTAATTAATTGAGCACATCAAAGGACATGTTAGACCTTAAATATTACTATTGTTCGTTCTTGTTAGCTTTAAACTTTAAAAATCAATCATTACCCAATAGAGACAACATGTTTTAGATGATATCATCATATAATAATTCAATACCAAAATGGAAGGGCAAAAATAAAAATGTGCAACTAAATAGGTCATAATCACTAGCTAAATTTAAGCTCACTTAAAATACAAAGGACATTTACTTTTACTAAGAGAACATAAAAGACAACAACAAACCATTACCTAGATTTAGATACAAAATGAAGACAGATTAACTTTTTATTTGAACAAGACTTATAACATTTAAAAGAACATGAAATAAACCACTGAATTGAACACACACATACACAAAAAAAAAAAATAATAATAATAATAAAAATAATAATAATTGAATATATATTCTAATTCATCATATGTTTTAAATTCATAAGAACCACTGTAAATTGCCAAGCTTCTTGGTACCTTAATTCTTTCCATATGATCATAGCAAATACATGGCAGTAGATGCTAGCATCAAAGGGCACCGACAGCATCACTTAATCCATAAAAAACTGAGAACAAGAGGTTTCATTATAGGCCCACAAATATTGCAACACTAGCGGGTGTTTTATTGATGTAATGTTATTTATGTCTATCGCTTATATTTTACTTGATGTTCATATAATCTACACTTAGATACAATGACCAGCATGTTATAATACTAAGATAGGTAAATCATATACTTGTGTTAGTTTATCCCCTAGAGAATGTCCCCCGTCAGGATTAAATAGATATTTGCCTACTCACTCAATCACCATCGCCTACCCAAAAATCATTCTCTAAAAAAAAAAAAAAAAAAAAGACAATGCCTTGACTTTTTTTACAAATATGACAAATTTAGCCTCCCCAAATAAAACCTCATGTTTTTTATTCATAAGAACCCCTGAATTTGTAAAGATATTATTCAAATTAATAATCAAGAAAAAATTGCCAAATTGCATTTTAGGGAAACTTAACAATGGCATGCATAATTTTAATGGTGAAAACAAGACAAATAAGAACAAGAAGCAGAATCAAGAAAAATTGCCAAATTGCATTCTTGATAAATTTATGGTATAGCAATTATAGAATAGCACAGAAGGCTAAAAGAAAAAGAAAAAAGCCACAAGCAGCATAAGGCAAAAGTAACTAAAAGTTTGGCAGAAGTGCAAAGGGATTGGTGAAAAGAGTAGCTTTAGTAACCATTTTACATTTAAAAGAATAATGCATTATAGTCTGAAGTAAAAGATAAAATGGCTGATTTGCTCAGTTTGGAAGATTTATGTATGCATCAAAATGCAAAGTAATGGGTCAACCGGAAGATAAAACATACCTTGGGAATTCGTAATGGGTTTTTCGAAGCATATTCACAAAGCTTACCAATTTTTCTATCAATTGGTTTAGCATCCTGCATACAAATAAGCACATGAAATTGCTCAGTTTTCTTTTTAAAATTGTTCCTGTTTTCAGGAGGTTGAGAGTGGAGGGGCGTGAATCAGAAGCATAAAGAAATTCTGTAAAAAGCAGGGCAGATACTAAAAGTGATAAGTTCGATATTTCTTGACGTCTCTATTGCCAGCATTCAAGTTCTCTTCTAAAATGTACAAGATTTCTAACGATGTAACTGAGTAACCTTATTTGTACTACTAGCAGCCAAAGCAACAATGAACCTTCCACTTTTTTGAAACATTTCTATGATACGAAAACAAATTTCACATGTTTCAAAACACCACTAGAAACATGGCTAAAATATCACAGTAAACCAAACCTTAACTATAAACCCAATCTTAAAACAATACTCCATCTTCATTTCGGAAACACAAAACAAGTTAAAAATTAATCCATACATACATTACCAAGACCAATTAAACCAATGCAATTCTCATATACTTTCAAAGCCTAAGTTCAAGTGACATTACACAAGCTATAAATCCCACTGATTACGGGAAAATAACTCTGCCAACAACTTTTTGTATCGGTTCACACCCTGTTTGACCTCACGCGCATTGAAGGACAGAAAAAACAGGAATTTAGCTAAAGGCCCTACTCAAAATACACCGATAGAAGAAGATTTATTAGTATGCAGAAAATCTTCCATGAAATTGGTTAGATCAACATAAATAAAATAGGCATACTGTCAGGATGTAACGACCATTGATTTGCACACATAGAAGCCAAGAAACTTTCATGGAAAACTGATTGAATGATCCCAATTCGAGATAATGAGGAAAAAAATGGCATTGAAATTAGACTTTTAAGAAAAGTATAAACATTAAGGGCTGGAAAGAAGAACTTAACAGAAGATGCACCATATTTGGAATTCAAACACATGACTTTACTTTCTCTTACCGGATTTAAGTATTATTACTTCTAAACTTAACTGGAAAAATGGTTAAGACTTTGAAATATAAACAAACAGGAGATATGACATTCAAGAAGCCAACATAGACACATCTAAATAGTCATTTGGAACTTCAAACTTGCAGTAGTACATGGTAAATTAAACGAGTGCATGTTGGCATGCAGCTAAGGACTAAACCGTCAGTAATTTGAATCAAATAAATTTTGCTTGAACTTTTACTAACTTCCCCAAAATTACTTCAATGTTAAAGTGACAATTCCACAACAATTACACAGTTACTTACAAAACACTCTTATCAGTCAAGACATAATCATATGTAGAAAAGTTCAAATAGTTACAAAAGAAGCTATAATGAATTAATATAAATTAATAACTTCCAAAAAAATATTGTTGGTACCTTTAAACTCTCTTAGATCATTACATACAAAAGACCAGGTGCTTCCCTCTGAATCAACTCTTTTGTAGCTTCAGGGGTAACGTCTCTTGGGGTGAAGCCAGTGCCACCTTGTTCAAAATATATTCAAAAAAGGAGAGGAAAACGTCAAGATAACCCAAAAAACAAATTCACCCACAGAATTTAGCTAGCTGAATACAATCTGAGGAGAAAGCCAAAGCTTTTAATTTTAACTCTTTAAGTCGAGCTAAGGAGTCTTTAGCTAGGCAAAAATCTAGAGTGCAATGGCTTAGAGAGGGTGACCAGAACACAAGCTACTTCTTCAAGTGTGTGAAAATCACCAAGCTTACGAGTGATAACGACACGGTTTTTGAAGATCCTTTGAGCATTAAAGAGGAAATTGTCAGCCACTTTAAAAGAGTATTTCAGGAGCCGAGGGGTGTGAGCGACTACCGGGGCTTAGAGGAACTTATTGAACCTTGCATCACTAGTGCTATGGCGAATGGGATGACTGCCGAAGTGACGGATGAGGAAATCAAGAACACTCTGTTTTCTTTGGGCAATAACAAAGCTTCTGGACCAGATGGTTTTGGTGTTTATTTCTTCAAGAAAGCTTGGGATGTGGTGGGAAAAGATGTGATTATGGCTATTAAAGACTTCTTCCAAGAGGGCAAGCTTTTTAGGGAGGTAAATTGTACTTCAATTGCTCTTATTCCCAAGTGTGTTAATGCTTCTTTGTGTAAAGACTATAGGCCTATTTCTTGCTGCAACATTATTTATAAAGGTATCACCAAAATTATTGCAAATAGAATTAAGAGTGCTTTACCTCTCTCAATTGACCCAGCACAAGCAGCATTTGTTGGTGATTGGAGAATAGGAGATAATATCCTCTTATGCCAAGAGCTGGTGCACAACTATAATCGAGCTTCGACCAAGGAGAAAAGGTGTGCCTTGAAAGTTGATTTAATGAAGGCTTAGGACTCGGTTAATTGGGAGTTTCTCTTACAAGTCCTAAAGAATTTTGGATTCCCAAGTGTACTTGTCAATTGGATATCCACATGCATCACAACTCCTAGGTTCTATGGTTATCAATGGGGAGCTGGTGGGTTTCTTTGGGAGCTCTAGAGGGCTAAGACGAAGGGATCCCTTCTCCCCTTACTTGTTTGTTATTGCTATGGAGATTCTCTCTCGGCTCTTGAATAGAATGGCAACTAATCCGAACTTTAGTTTTCATTGGAGATGCAAGAAAATGGGGCTGACTCATCTTTGTTTCGCAGACGATCTCATGCTTTTTTGTAAAGCCGAGGGTACTTCTCTGTCTCTCCTTAAGAATGCTTTAATTACCTTTGAAAGTTTGTCAGGATTGAGTGCAAATCCCGATAAGAGCAATATCTTCCTTTCTGGTGTGAGTGACAATGAAAAGATGGAGCTCTTAAGTTTGGCAGGTTTTCCCGAGGCTACTCTTCCCATCAAATACTTAGGTGTACCCCTTATTACCTCTAAGCTAACCTTTGGGGATTGTCGTCCTCTCTTGGATAAAATCTTGGCTCGGGTTGCCTCTTGGAGAAGTAGGTTTTTATCCTATGCGGGGAGGATAATTTTGATTAAGTCCATACTTTGGAGTATCCAAATTTATTGGTCGTCTCTCTTTATTCTCCTTTCCAAATTTAGAAGGAAATTGATGCTAGTTTGAGAGCTTTTCTTTGGTCCGGAGCTGATATGAATAGACACAAAGCTAGAAAAGCGTGGGAGGAGGTATATATACCCAAAAATGAGGGCGGGCTTGGGTTTATGAAATGTAAGGAATGAAACCTCGCGGCTTCTTTAAGACATATTTGGAACCTATGCAATCATAGAAACCCTACTTTGTGGGCCTCTTGGGTCTGAATTCATCTTTTAAGAAATAGAAGCATTTGGGACATAAGCATTCCCCAAAATTGTACATGGTCTTGGAGACATATCCTCAAAAATAGGGAAATGGCTAGAAAGAATACCAAATGTAACATTGGCAATGGTAACACCACTTCTCTTTGGTTTGATAACTGGCAGCCGAACGGTCCCCTTGCTTGCATCTATGGGGAAAGGATTATTTATGATGCAGGGATTGCTAAAGATGCTAAGGTGAGTTCTGTGATTGATGGATGCAATTGGAAGTGGCCAAGTGCCAATTCTTGGGCTCTTATTAACATGGGAAATTCTGTGAATTTCACACCTTCTAATGTTGATGACAAGATTTGATGGATACCCTCACCTTCGGGGGATTTGTCTACCAAATCGGCTTGGGAGGCTATTAGAGGAAGAAGAGCAAAAGTTGAGTGGTGTGACTTGGTGTGGTTCTCAAAGGCTATCCTAAGATACTCTATGATCTTATGGATGGCTATAAAGGAGAGATTACCTACAAAGGAAAGGTTGATGAGGTAAGGGGCTACTACTAACGCTCATTGTTGCCTTTGTAACTCATCTATGGAATCTCTTGACCACTTATTTTTTGCATGTCCGTTTTCTAAGTCTATTTGGATCAAGATCCTTATACTTGCTGACTTTGGCTATGTGGTTAGACCCCGGCATGATTACATCCCCCATTTGGCAAGGAAATGGAAAGGTAAGAGTTTAAAATTCACTTTGGGTAGGCTTTGTTTAGGGGCTACTGTTTATTGGATTTGGAGGGAGCGAAATTCGCGAATTTTTAGGGGTGACTACAAGGATTCCTTCACCATAATTGATGCTATCAAAAGTGTTATGAGAGACAAAGCTATGGACCTTAGGAATGTCAAAACATCCTACAGCAATAAGAAGTTGGCGAATGATTGGGGCCTCCCTAGATCTATTTTCAAAAACGTTCCTCAAGTTCCCGACACCGTTTGAAGACTGAATTATGGAGGGTTATGCAAAATGGATTTTGCTTGATTGTATTTGTATCAATTGTAAAGAGTTTGATCTCGTGTTTTTCTTTTAGTGATCCTAACCTAGGGAGGTGTCCTATGGTAGGTGGAATTTTTGGTGTTATCTTTGCTTTCTTCTTGGTGTTTATCTCCCTATGTGGTTTAAGATAAACCCCAAGAGTGGATGGCCATTTGTAGGCTTGTTTCTTTTTATTCCTATTTTCGAGGCATGTCCCAAAATAGGCTGGCCGACTTTTATTAGGCCTTTGTACATTCTTCTTTTTTAATATAATTACTTACCTAACAAAAAAAGAAAAAAAAATCCAATCTTAAAGTTACCAAGGGTAAGGATGAGATCCATTTCGTCAATATCAGACCATCTCTGGATAACATCTTTGATTTTCCCTACATCATCTAGGACTACAGCTGTTGCAACTACCCTTGCTCCACCTAACCTTTATGATGAGGAATTTAAAACAGAAACAGCTCTAGGCCCATTGAAAATTAAATGTGTTCAATATCATTTACTATCAAAATGCAATGCAGAAACAGAAAGATAAAAGTAGAAGACATTTTTCTTATTTTTCTAATCATTTGAACTAAAAGGAAATCCATTGTTCACTCAGAACTAAACCAAAGTTTATGCATCGTTCTACTATGCATGTCTAGCATATTACATTTAAGAAGTATACAACATTTTTCATGAATCAGTTAATCGGCCATGGCTCACACAACCAAAGGCCTTTAGTTAAATGGTCATTAATGCTTTCAAAAAGATTTCAAGTTTGGTCAATTCTTCAAATAGTCAAGCATTACAAAAAAGGATAGTTCTAAAGTGTTGTTAGTTTATTTATAGTTCAATGCTCACAAGGAAGTTCTAATACAAGCACAATAGAGGCAAAAATAAGAAAGAACACCACCAAGATGACTTGATGATTGCCATACTATTTCCAGAATACTGTTGCATAGCATTTAGAACTTTCCATGTTTCACTTTGACAAGGAGTAATATCAGCTCGGCTTTTTACTATGGCATCAAGTAAGTGACCCTTCTGAAACAATGATTCAAAGAGGTGTATCCAGATGCTATTAAGTTTAGGTAATGATCTTCGCATTCCCAATTAAGGACACCTTAGAGAAGATGATCCCAAAGATTGAGTCATCCAAGGACATAAAGATTCTAATCATCCACTGTTTGCTATATAATGTTCCATATCTAACTCATATAAGGCAGAACATCAACTCGCTCTACCACTGTAGCATCCATAAAGATTTTTAAACCTACTAAGTCAGAAAGGTGTACCTAGATGCCTTTTCTTTGTTTTGCTTTTTTAACATATCTAAACTGGATGGATGAATAACTATATATACACAGGAAGCATTAAAAAAGGATATAAAAGAGAGAGAGACAGAGAGCACGCATATACATAGATTTAGTACCTTCAATCAGGCCCAGTTGCCGATGCAACTGTATCACTTACAGTGAGAATAGCTACTTTGAAAGTGTCCTAAGAAGCATCTGTACTTGCCTCTTTGGTTGTGCTTTCTTTCATTGTAGAAGCCAAAATTGATCCTAAGCCAGTCTCAATAATACCAGTACTACTAAAATCTGAAATTGTGATGGCTGACACAGAAGTTCTAGCAGAAATTAAATTGCCACCTGCTGGCAACTCCAAAAAGGCATTGGCTGATTATTATTCACTTCAAGTAGTGCCACCTTCTGGTGCATATCTTGACCTTATTATTTATAAAATTTTACCTGCGAAAATTTCATAAAATATAGATTCTTCCTGAAGAAATCATCACAGAAAAGATACCTGCGAATTAGAGAACAAAAGAGTCAAAAACTATACAACAGACTTGACATTCACTTACATCTAGCAAACAAAATCAAGGAGAAGAGTAAAAAGGTACTCAGAAGTTGCAGTATCCATAAGCAGCTTGTGTAAGCTCCGGAAAAGGACCTCATAAGTATACTTTAAGGAGCTGGCTTCAGATATATGCGGAATCAATGCAGGTTGATCAATTTCCTGAAACCAAAAAAAGATTCAAACCATGGAACCTCGTTTGCCAGCAAATAATGATAGATTTCATAAATAGTGAAACATTTCTTTCATACACAGGAGACATATCCCACACATCACTTTTCTTCCTATTTTCTTCCTTCATTCTTTTTTTCTTTCTTTCTTTCTTTTTTTTCCCCATTTCATCATTTCCTAGATATCATCATTTCACATCTCTTTACAAAACTGTCAACTTTCATAGATATAATAAATTATAAATTTAGGGACAGTTTAAGAAAAAAAACAAAGAGTTTAATACATGTATCTAATTATAAGGTGGGGAAAGTGGGGAAGCAGGAGTTTGAAAACAGACTTCTGTGACTGCAAGCACACCCAGAAAAGTAGGAAACAGAAACGACTATGCAATAGTAGGGGAAAAAAATCTGAAGAGAGCCTATTTTCAACAATATTCCAATTCTCATGCACACTGCAAAATTATAACCTGACCTGATGCCAGTTAAAATCTAAAACATTGCAAAAAGTAATTAACACAAGTTTACAGCATAATTCAAATTCTTTATCTTATCATACTCCACATTTTTTTGGGTATGTGAAAAATAGGCTCAGATTTCCTTTACTACTATTTTCTCTTTGTTATTTACTTTACCAGAGCAACAAATACAAGAAAGGATATATTTCAGCAGGCATTCTATGTTTCCATATTGGCCCAATTGAGGAGAATTAGATAAATTATAATCAAAACATAAAAATTTAAAAGATTGCCGATCCAATAAATTGGAATACGAATCATAAGTGTATATATTCTAAAATATTCCCAAGAAGAAGCTAAGGCCAAACAATCAATGATCAAAGATCACAACTGACATTTGATTTACTATGCGATCCAGTGAGAAACTAAACATATAATCCATAATATCAGGGCAAAGAATATTTCACAGTGAGTGAAATAAAATTGAACATTTAAAATATTGACCCAATCCCCTAGAGCAAAAACAGGAGTACGATTCTTCAGTGGTTCTCTTCCTCTGGAAAAAAGAGTAGTGCTTCTAGTCTCAACACCAATCAAATCACCTCAACCAAATTAGGGTCAAGTGAAGCCACAGTTTGAGGATTGCCTCCTTGATTCATCATCTCATTAACATCCTAATATTAATTCACTGTAAAAAATTATATAACAAAGCCAAAACTCTAAATACAAAACTGAACAAGTCTTAACTTTCCAAAATAAAACTAAAAAACCAAAAGATCTTGGGATCAAAAGACCCAAAGATCAGAAAGAGCCATTGGAGAGAAAGAATATTAAAGAGAAGAAGAGAATTAAGGGGTGTGTGTGTGTGTTTTGAATTATAAAAGAATATTAAAGAGAAGAGTGTGGATGCCTCGTGCCTGAAAGGTATGTTGGACCCGAAACCCAAGGGGAATGGTCTACCGTAGGAAGAATAGTGGTAAGAAGCATGGGAATATTTGTTAGGTAGGAGGTTAGAATTTGTTATGAGAGGACAGGTGGCTTGATAGGATTGGAGAGGAGAAATTCTGTTAGAAATCAAAAGGTGTCAGGAGGGAATAAAAAGGGCAGGAACGAAAGAGAGGATATTGAGAATTAACAAGTTATTTTGGAAGGGAGGTAGCTGACCCAAGTTAGTACTTGTGGAGGTGGCTGACCCTCGAAGTTAGTCTTTTGTTTACCATTTTCTTAGTGTACTTTGTTTACTTTCTTAGTGTTACTTGCTTATTGAGTGCTGATAGGACATGGCTTCTGGATGTATCTTCTCTAGATGTAATGTTCTATGTGGTTATTAATATAACAAGGTATTTTCTCATTTGAGTGTGAGTGTTGGTTGTGTTTGTTGGATAGATTGTTGGTATTGTTAGTGGAATTGCAAGTCGGGTTCCATCAGACACCAAGTTATCACTTTCTTTAATATAATCCTGCAGCATTAAAAAAGTTCTAGCATCAATCAATAATAATTCATAAATGAAAAAACAATGAAAGTAAGATACAAGAAGATGATTAAAGAGCATCTCAGCTATACATAACCCTCACTGAGTGATAGGACAACACGCAGAAATCGAAGATAAGGCACAAAGGCATGAATTGATTCAATACAATTTTTTATAAAAACATAAGATGAAACAGTTGAAGTACTTTTGTTTTAAAAAAATTAAAAAAACACAACTGAAGTACTTGATCTTATTTTAATAGACACCACAGTATTACATACAAAGCATCTTAGCAAAGCAAAGTAACCATGAACCTGAATAGAGTCCAACTCAACTTGGCGTAGATCATTCTTAACCCCCTTTATGTACTCCCTTAGTGTTGTACCTTTAGACAATATGTTTTCAACTACCTATATGAACACATAGACACATACATTAAGGTATAAAATATGAAGTTTAGCAGAAAAATTATGGAAACAAATATAAAATATAAAGCACAGGATCGTGCAAACTTCATGTGGCAAGCACAAGAAGATCATATAGTATGCAGACTCCAAACCAAATTACCAGATAATCATAAATGTAATCCAGATATTTTATTCCTTTTTACTGATAAGTACTCTCAAATTGCTTAAAAGAATTAACTAGATAGTACAATCTGTCGCTTCCTGTGTTACTCATCTAACAATTTAATTTTATACTAACATCTGAGTCACTTTGTTCTGCAAATACTCAGACACTACAGGCAAAATTTCACCTCTGAGGAACAAGACAACCTTGATTTAACAAACATCAAAAATTATCTATATCATACATCAAATTATCACAATTTTCCAATAGTGTTTTCAACACAATAATCATCATGACAAAAGCCAAGAAGCAGTATGAACTCATAGATCTAATCTATGTAGCCTATTGTACAAACTTACACCATGTCGACTCAAGGAGTCACACACATTAAAGAACAAGAACACCCACCCTAGTTTCACTTGTTGTTATCCTCAACCAGCAGATCCTATCTCAAACAGTAAGTTATAAATACAATGCTACCTTACCCTAGTTCCCCATATAACAACTATAGATGCAAAAACCACAAAAACGAGACTATAGCTTCAGGAAAAGAAAAAACAAAAAAACAACACAAGAGTTACTCACGTCATAGTTTTTACATTCTTCAAGCTCCTTCTCAAGTCCTTCCAATGATATATCATCACTGCCAAAAACAGCAACAGCAATCAACATCTTCATAATAAAATACCTAGTAGTCTGAACAAAAATACAAGACAGTTTACAACTCTTCTCTTACAGTTAAAAGCACCCTCCATGACCTATCTCACAAACGTTTCCTAAGAATCTTCTAAGCAATAATCTCTAAAAAGGAAACAAAAATTATTTCTTTCCCAGGTTTACAAATTAAATTCAGTCAGCATCACTACATGATTGAAAGAGAGTGACACTTTGGTCACCGGCAAAGGCGTCCAAAGGTAACCCTCTCAAGTTTCCAGCAATTTCCAAGATTTCAGCACCTCAACCAACTCACCCAGAGAACTTACGGTCACCCACCATTTATTTCTTTATTTTAAGTTACTTTACCAATTAATTTTACTCAAACATTCAAGAAAACTTGAGAATAGTCAAATTCTCTAAAACACAGATCACATCTTAAACAAATCAACAAACAAAGTTCTACATAAATTATACAAAAAGCTTTCACAATTCTTAACTTACCCAATTGCATCTTCCTCAAAAGTCAAGTCCCCCACAAATGCACCTAAATCAAACACATTTTTCTGGGCATCACCAAAAGAACCACCCTACATACAATAAAATTTTAATATTTAAAATCCCAAACTATCCAATTTCTCAATATAAGGGCAAAGCAATTAACACTTGACAAATAAAAATTACCACCACAATATTCGCCATCTTCCAGACGCGCACAACAGCTTCACCAGCACAAATTTAAAAAAAAAAAAAAAATTCAAAAGAACTTCAAAATTAAGTGAAAAAAAAAATCGTATAACAAAGCCAAAACCCTAAATACGAAACTGAACCTCCAAAAATAAAACTAAAAAGCCCAAAGATCAGAAAGAGCCGTTGGAGAGAAAGAATATTAAAGAGAAGAAGAGAATTAAGGGGTGTGTGTGTGTGTGTTTTGAATTATAAAAGAATATTAAAGAGAAGAGTGTGGATGCCTCGTGCCTGAACCGAAAGCCAAGTGGCTTACAATAGAGAATTAGGCGGATTTGTTTATTTGAAAGTAAATGAAAAAGGAAAAAGTAAATTTAGGAGGAAGAAAATAAATGAAATTGGGGATGGTGATGATGATGGTGATGGGCCCCGAAAGAATCTAATGCTTCTATCAAATCTCCACTTAACAAAACCAACTCCCTTTTATCATTCTTCTTCTTGTCCCTTTCTTTCGCTAAACAAATTTCCCATACCAAATTTTGTCTCTCATTCTCAATTAAATAAATCACTTTGAATATTGCGTTGTATATATAGATATATATATATATAATATATATATTTATATATATATATATATATCAATTATTTGAAATGAATATTCAAAATTAAAGAAAAAAACTGTTATTATTAATTTTTGATAATAAAAATGGGTTGGTAGATGCACATGAGACATGTGGGACATGCATGGTGATGTTGCAAATTGATACGAAGTTAATAATTACAAAAAGGGAAGAAGTGTGATATGGTATCATACAATAAAATTAAAGCTTTTGGGGTTTTTTATGATTATAAGGATGGTATGAAAGAACACATAGGTTTTTTGTAATTATAAGAATTGTATGAGAGGACATGTGTTTTCATGCTTTACTTTCAAGATTTGGAAAAATTTTGAGATTATTTTAATTTAGAGGAACATTCTTTCGCTCACCATTTAATTTGAGATTTGTAAACCCTTGGACTGTGTAACTATTATGTGAAGTTGAAGACTGATATTTAGAATGAAAATTTAATCTCTTTAGTATGAAAAGTAACAATTTATAGCAAAATTTGAGAGAAAAGCTTAGTGAATTACAATTTCAAGCATGACAAAACTTTAAATATTTTCTTTTAAAATCAGTTGACATACGCCTTATTAAAATCTTAATAGTTTGAATAAAATACACAGTTTTACTTTGATTAGATGGATAAGATCAATGTTGTGAAAATTGAGTGATTGGAAGAAGAAAGGAATGAAAGTAGTTTTATAGGAGGAATTGTTAAAACTGTAATTATTCAACAAAATATAGTTTGAAAAAGGAAAAACAAATACACAGTTGTATCCATGAAGGGCAAAAAGATTCAGAATTGTTCAGTTAACCCATTGGACATATTTCAAAAGATGCAAATTAATATTTGCCAAAACTTGAAAATAAAATAAATCAGACTTTCAGTAGACATTTTGGTTAATCTTCAAGTACATAAACTATGAAGCGATTAATCTTGGCAACAAGTATGTTGAACAATAAAGATCAGCGCAGAAAAGATGTTTAAATAAAAGAAAATCAGCAAATCAATCTTGAATCTCAATGTTTTGTCTAGCAGCCAATGAATAAGCATTAGCTTGACCTTCCTAATCCAATTAAACTTGTAATGGGTATTGCAAGTTTCAGAAAAAAGAAAAGATCATGCCAATGAATTACAAAGGTCAAGTACATTTTATGTTAGTTTGCTCAAGCCCCCAAATATAATATTTGAACTATTAAGGTTGGCCTAGTTTATGAAAACTACAAAGCACTTCATGAAACCTCAAATCGATCGTGATTACAATTGTAATTACAACTAAATGAGCATTTTATATACAAAAAAAAAAAAAAAAAAAAAAAAAATCCTCAAAACATCCATATAATGCTTCTGTCTCACATATCAATCATTTCTAGCACCTTGGTCTAACTATTTCATATCATCAACACATTTCTAACCTTTTCATGGTTCAGAACGAACCACATCTTTCTGAGGTTTATCCATATATTGAATCACAGAGCAGAAAAAAATTACTATGAAGAAGAACTGGTATGGAAACATATGCATTAGAAATCATTTCTCCCACACGCTACACATTATACTGGGCCAATAAAATGTGTCCATTATAATACAAGATTACACACAAAATGATGTAGCAGCATACATAAGTTATAATTGTTATAGGAACACAATAAATGAGTGTGTAATATCTCAACAGACAAATGTGACACAATTAAAAAAAGAAAAAAAAAAAAAAAACAACCACCTAATAGACTCACATAACAATGCAAGGAAACATCAAGAATTAGGATACACACACATGTAAAATGGAAGGTGAACTCACTTCTGCATTCTTGACTGTGTAGACCTCTCCCAACGCTATTTCACTAAAAAGCATTAGGCCCACAGGATTTTTCTTATCAGCGTAGCAATACTGAGCACTTTTACTGACCAGGTCAGCAAATTATATCCCCTTGCCAAACTATTTTGAAAGATTCTTAAAAAGTTAATTAGTCTTGCAGTGCAGATACACCTGAACACAAACACACACACATACATGTGCACATGAACACACACACACACACACACACACACACACACACACACAAACAGTGGGAGAGTGAGAGAACCATATAGCCAGTTGCTGGTGCTTCAGGATGCGCTATTCTCTATCCTTGGCTAAGTATTCCCACAATATGAGTCAACCAAGAACTTGCAGAGTGGAGAATTTTTACAGCAGATAGAGTAGAATATAACACATCACATTAACTGCGAAAGTGTTTTCTCTTTAATTTCAGTAAATTAATTGCAACTTACCATGCCAGAGGAGCATTCTTATCAAATTCTCCTTCCCTTTCAAGTGAAAAAACTTCTTTGAGTTCAAGAGACCAATCCTGAGGATATTATAAAGGTCCAGAATGTCATTCATGAAAAACCATATATATATAAACCAACCAACAAAAAGTGATCACCAGCAAAGTAAGTTCTCAGGGTTCAAGATAATCTAAGACTAAACCCACTGTTTTGAGCCGTGTTTAGGACAATGCACATTAAGAATATCTGCTAATGCCCACTGCAACAGAAAAAAATATCCTTCCATATTTTACTGTTAGTTCTACTTATACAAGACTATCTAATTATATTTAATAATAGACAAATCAAAAGACTAAATAGCAAAATTTTACCATACTAAATACACACAACTATACGATAGACAGAAAACAGGTAAATATAGGTATCTAGGACATACTCTTCAATACTACAGATCCTAAACCAATGGCAACTCCACTTGTAATCAATGAATGAGAAGCTGCAACATCAATACCCTCTACAACAAAATTTTTAATACAAAATTAGAGTAAACAGAATGAATGGTTGAGAATTTATGTAAACTCTTCAGTCAAGAATTTAAGTTAAATGCTCGTTTTGTATTGAGAAGCTTGTGATTTTGGTTTAGAGTGAAGCAACAGGCATATGAAGGGCACATAACAGTATGAAAGTAAAAAAACAGAGCAGATTTAAAGCTTACAAAAGCAATTATCATTAAAAAGGAAAAACTAAAAAGTGATAATACATGAACCGAGTAAAATACTGGCCTGGTAATGGAACTGGGCCAGTAAGAGGCATGCCTCTAGAGGAACGAATCAGCAACTACAGAAAGGTGTACTGCAACTCTGGGATATAAAAACATGAACACATACCTCACACCAATCAAAACAATAAATAGCTTTAACCTTATGAGCCTCCTCTTTTAAAATATTTTCTGTCCCTCGAAAAGCCCTCCACATGACCATTGGGTCCCAACTAAGACCAGAAGTCTTTTCAAGCACATTTGTAACTATCACAGGTTCACCTCTCATCCAATGCATTTGAAAATACTCGATTTCATTGTTTCCCAGTAGAGATAATTGTCCTGACTACTGTCCCTATGAGCTACCTGCCTAACTCTAAAAGTTTTTACTCCATTTTCAGCAGAACATGATTGTACAAAAAACATCCTTGAGAAAAAATATCCAGCGGCTTATAATTGATAGTCAGGTCCTATGCAGTCTTAATCAGTTTTCCAATCCAATTAGCATCAAAGATGTGTCTTAGTGCAAGTATCCACCGTCAGCCTCTTCTCTCCAATCAGGAAAGTTGCATGACGTCTTAGTGATCTTGTCTGCAGAAATTTGGCAGTCAAAATTTGTAACCTGACCATTTGCTTTTTCAGCTAACTGCTATTCAGAAAGCTCTTCTTCAATATTTCCTTGTTGAAAACCTTTTCTTATTTCTCCACAGCAAGTCAGGCAGAGATCATAAGAACAATCAGGATTGGGGCAGCTTCTGTGGAAATTAACAATCGACATGCTGCAATTGTCATTGTTGAATAAGAAAAGATTCATGGTTAAAACTTTTACCATTATAAATATAATTTAAGCCACTATATATAAAGAATTATGAATTAGGGTATCTCGAACTCATAATACAACCATTCAACAAAGAAAGATGAGAAGTTACGGGATTGAACATGCCCGAATCTTCTTCTACACAGAAACTGCAAAAAAATTGGACAAAATAAGAAATTAAAATGAAGAATTGGAAGATAATAATAAGCGATACAAATATAATTTAAAGCACTGTATATAAAGAATTATGAATTAGGGTATCTTGAACTCATGGTACAACCATTCAACAAAGAAAGATGAGAAGTTACGGGATTGAACATGCCCACGTCTTCTTCTACATGAAAACTGCAAAAAAATTGGACAAAATAAGAAATTAAAATGAAGAATTGGAAGATAATAATAAGCGAAGCTGAGTGAGGGAAAGAAATTACAACCCGAATCAACAAAAAACTTCCAACATACAAACAAAATTTCAAAATCCAGTACAAATAAATTGAAACGACGTTTATTACAAACAAATATATACACATAAAAAAGAAAATTAATATCTTTCATTTAGTGAATGTGGATGTGAGAAATTTCTACGGAACATTCACAACGGCAATGCATTACATCTGTATTCTTCTTGTTAATAGACATAAGTATCAAAATGGTTAAATTTTTAGAATGTTAATACAATATATCTAAAATTATTATTATTATTAATTATCAATACATATCTAATAATTTTTATTAATCAGTAATTATAGATAAAGCAATAAATACAAATTCAATATGTCAAGATGGAGCAATTTGATTAGACTATCATTAAACGACAAATCCTAGTTGTCAATCTAATGTGTCAAGACATAACAATTCTACGAGTTCCAAAATATGTCAGGTAATCTAATTTTTATACATATTTTGCTCTTAATTAAATACAATTTCGGATACAATTACCTTCAAATGTCTACCAAATAAACATTACCCAGCCCCCTACATTTAAGAATAGCCACAAGAAGTTTAAAAGTTAACAAAATACCCCTAATCACCCCAAAACCACCACCGGTCACTGGCATCAATCACCGTAATGACGCACAACCGATAGGATCTAGATGATGGTGCGTTGATAAGGCCATTTCAAGGCCAAAGATGTGGTCACGAAACGACCACATATTTGGTTGTGAAACAGTGGCCGTTTCACGACCAAAGATCTAGCCTTTTCACGACCAGATTTGTGGTCGTGAAACAGCCATGGATTTGTGATCCATAATTGGAAATGGTTTTTCCGGCGCACGGCCAACCATATGCGACCAATCGTGTGTCATTCTATCAATTGCTGGCGGCGGGCGGTGGTAGTGGCTGGCTTCCAGTAGTGGCTTGTGGTGGATGGGGGTGATTTTGATACAAATTAAAGTTTTATATAGTTGGGGTGTTTTAGCAAAATTTCAAATGTAGGGAGTTAAAAGAATGATTCAAAAAAGAATAATAAAAAATAATATTATATTAATATTTAAAAAGGAGGACAATTTAGTAATCTATATAACATACCCACCCATTTATCCTCTCAACCAAACATATTACTCACCAATGTATTCGAACCAACCAAACATATTTCTTAAACATTCCTAGTAATCTTCAAGGTGATATATTTTTTCATTAATATAACATCCCCTATAATAAAACATTATATTATCCAAACGCACCCTAACAAAATTAAGATTATTAAGTAATCTTAGAATACCTAAGAAAATGATGATATTCATATTACCACCTATATAACTAACAATAATTACTATTAGTTTTGGAATATTATTGATGAACAATTTTAATTCATTGCAAGTCCATGAATCGCTATCGTAGTCTAGTGTACAAAAGCAATGGTTGATCCCACAGAGATTTGTAAGTACTCAATTAATCCTAACATACTATGCCTTAATTAAACAAATAAAATAAAAAAAATTTTAAACAAAAGAAATTAAACTAATTACTAAGGAAGCAAAATAAATTCTTAACCAACTAAATTAAATAACAAAATTAAAAATTAATTGAAAACCAATGCAAGAAAAACCTCATCCACCCATGGATATTTCAATAATTTAAAAAGTTTATGTTAAAAGCTAATGGTTTTGAAATGTTTTCTCATCAGCTCTTCTAAATTTGTGTCATGTTTATGATAAAAGTGTTATCTAGCTGATACAAATCATCATTTGTGACTCTTAGATATACTACTCAAAAGGTCCTGAATTTAAATCCACATGACTATTAATAAGGGATAACCATTGAAGACTTACTTAGCTGTTAACTTCAGGGTTCCATGGGACTAGTCGAAGTACATGCAAGCTCATCCAAACACTCATGAATACAAAAAAAAAAATAATAATAATAAATTAAACTTTCGTGTAATTAACCATATCCAAACACATAAAAAACACAACTTCACATCATCAACCATCTTCACACACATTAAAAACAAAACTTCAAAATCAAATCTAGAAAGAATGAAATAACAAAAATAGCCATGACATACTATCAAGTCCACTAGCGACGACGATGGCCTTATCCAGTAGCCCCCGTTACAGCCATGGCCTTCAAATTTTTTTTTTTTTTTTTATATAAACTTCTGTTTTTGGATTATTTTTCTAATTTAAAAAAATAATGAGAGAGATTATAGTTTATTTAAGGTTATTTTTTCATTCAAGTTAATATATATTGTATAGAAAGATGTAAATACCCTTTGATGGTTAAGTATAATATTTGAAATTTAAAAAGTAGGTGGAACATGATGGTTTTAAAATGATTAGACCTAGAAAAACGGGTTTGGATTCGTGGGTCAACCCGTATCCAAGTAAATAATATAAGGCACGGGTATGTATAATTAGACATGTTTTTTTGGCCCCTGTCCTGCCCTACCCATTTTGTAAACGCGTAAACCGAGTGCATCCACGAGTACTGCTTTTTAATTAAAAAAAAAAAACCGAAATTGACATTCTTTGTCTTTCTCTTACACAGCATGTGAGCTAAAGCCTAAAACACTTATTCGTTTCCTTCTCTCTCTCTCCAAACTTAACTTCTCTTGTTTACTTCACATTCCGCCTTTTTCCTATCAAAATCATTCACAATCTCCATTCATTCCCCTTCTCTAACCCACTAATTTTTCTTCCCAAAGAGTTTTTCAACAACCCACTCTTCTTCTTTGCAACTAAGGGCCTACTGGGTATAATAGATCCAATTGATGGCCTAAAAAGAACTTGAATTCACCCAGCCCTTCTCACTTATGGTTCATCAAGATAGGCTATAGAGCGGCACATTTCCATTTCGTCAAAATGTTTTCTCTTCACGTTTCTCAAGATTTCGAAGCTTTTAAGAATTTTTCTATTTTGGGTTTGTTTTGTGTTGTGGAGTTAGAATGAAAAACATTGTGTAATTTTGGAAAAAAGTTTTATTTTCTTCTTGTTTTTTTTAAGGATTTGAGGATTTTGAAGTTGTTCTTTTTTGGGTATTTGCTTTTGGGTATTTGCTTTTGGGTTTGGGTTTGGTCTGAAGAACGGAGGTAAAGATGATGAGGTGGCAGCCATGGCCACCTCTTGTGAGTTGTGTCGAAGAAGTATGAGGTGAAATTAGTGGTACAGAGGATGGAGGGGTGGTGGGATCTGGTGCATGAGGTTGCAGAGAAGAAGGAAGAAGAAAGATAAACGATTGAGATTCGTTGGAAGGGTCCTAAAGTCGCCTTGAGTACTTTTGACTTTTGAGTAGAAGGCAATGTTTTAAAACCTGCCCGGCCTGGCTAGTTCAACCGAGACCCAGAAGCTTCAACGAGTCGGGTTTAAATTTTCCTATTCACCCAAAACCCTAGGATTTTCGGTGATGATCGACGAACAATTGACTGCCGGAATGTTGGGGCTTTTGAAGAGCAATTGCCAGTGAATGCAATGGTGGTGACGGAGTTGATTTCCTATGAGTAAATCAAACAAAACTGGTAGCGGCAACAATGAGATTTTTCAAGCGATTGACGAGGCTAACGGGGGTGGGGTGAGGTGGGTTTTGGTTAGGAGGAAAAGGGGAGTAATTATGGAGTGATGGGGAGGGCTTTCGATGTCGGAATCAATGGGATCTGGCTTGGAATGTCGACGTGAGATCTAGCCAAAATCGAACCTATTTCGGCCAGATCTTAGGTATATTTTGATAGAAATGGGCTCAAGAGACGATTTGGGTTGCATCTGGGGTGTCGTTGCCGCTAATCAGTCGCCGGTCGATTTGTATTTGGGGTGTGTTTGATAAATTTCAAACCTATAAGGACTTAACGAATTTTTAGGGGTATATTTGCTGAATTTTAAAAGTTTTTATCAATCGGTTTGACCGCTGGTCAAACTGGTGAAACCGGTCAACTCGGGACCTGGAAGCTTTGTCAGGTTTCACCACAATTTAGGTTTTAAAACATTGGTAGAAGGTCAAGAGGAATTTCACCAGAGTAGCAGGTACCTACGGGTCCACCCTACTCGTATAGGGTAGGGTACGGGTCCAACATTTTGGACCTGTACCGATGGAACCTGTTCCAGTTTAGACTCGGATTATACCTGGCCTACTCGCCCATTTTGCTAGGTCAAATTAGGGGTGGGAAATAAATTTTCCAAACCTAGGGGGGGAAAATGTAATTTGATCTAACTTTAAGATGTAATTATACATGGTGTGACCGGACTTAGAAAAGAATAACTTAACCCGACCGTTGAAATCCCATCACTATGGAAGCCTATGAATAAAATCTGTACCCGACAAGATCAGTATGAAGCTTATTTCAATGGCGAAATCTCATTTGCCTGCGTATGCTTCCTCTTCCGCAAAAACCACCCCTCAAATGACCCCGAGATAGACCCCAATTCCTGCTCCCTTGAGAAGTTCAAGCTTTACGAGACCAGAGCGGTGAGGGTTTCTTGTTTTTTTGTTTTTAACTGTAATTTTCAAATAATTGATAAACTAAGGGCTATTCAACTGAATTGAGTTTGGGTTTTTTTGAGCAGAGGTTCTATTTAATTGGGAGTGACAAGAACTAGAGGTTTTTTCGAGTGTTGAAAATTGATCGATCAGAGCCGTCTGATCTAAATATCAGCGAGAATCCGGTGGTATATTCCCCTTAGGAAATCAAAAACTTGCTTCAACGGATTGATGAAGGAAATTGTGCTACCGGCGGCCTCAACCCTTTGGCTAAGGTTTTTGGTATTGCAGGTCTGGTTAGCCTTATTATTTGTTTTTTTTTTTGGGGGGGAAGGGGACGGAGGGGTGTGGTTGAGAGGATAAAGACCTTATTATTTCCATTATTATTTTTGTGCATTTTCAGTATATAATTGAGTTATTTATTTATTTTTTATAAAGGCTGCATTAAGTTTTTGGAGTCATATTATTTGATTTTGGTTACCAAGCGAAGACAAATTGGATGTATATGCGGTCATGCAATATACAGTATAGATGAGAGCCAATTGATTACGATTCCTCATGTCTCTATTCAATCAGATGTGGCGCATTCGAAAACCAAACTCAGGTATTTTCCACTTGTTATATTTTTCATTTATTTGGCCATAATTCATTGGGTTAAAATGAATTTTAATTGAATTCTTATGGACCTAGTCAATTTAAAGTCGTGGATATATTCTTAAAAGATTTTTTTTTAATACTTATTTCTCCTTTCTCGACTACTGTGATCTTTACTAGTTGAATTCGTCATTTTAATTTAGAGCCAGAATTGGTTCTCATGCCTGGTTATCTATTTGTTGCATGAGAAAATGAATGCCTTAATTGTTTGTTTTCCAGAATTTTTACCTTTTTCAGGATGTTTATGTGTGAAATGAAATAATTGCTTGAGTTTATATATTTATTTTTTTTTAAGTTTTTATTTTATAGTGATGCACTCCTCTTGCCATTTCCTTTTTTTTTCTTTTTCAGATCATGGTGTGAAAAAGGGTAAAGTTAAGAGAATGGCCATGTATAGTCAGGTTTTCCAATCCATTGCCACCAATAAAATGGCCAAAACCTAAAGAAATCATCTGACAACAGTTTTCCAGTTCTGTTATTTATAAAGTAGAGGAACTTTTATTGCCTTCTGACTTGCTATTGTAGGTTACTTGTGTGCGAATTACTTCTTTTCTGTTTTATAAACGATCTTTTATTATATGCTACGAAACAAAGCATAGTTGAATTATGTAAAGGAGATTTTACAAGAGAATGAACAAATTTTCCTTATATTAAGGACAAACTGTCCACATAACCCTCTAGTGTTACAATAGGGAACCTTATGAAGATCGTGAAAGAGAAAAAGAAAGGGGAGGCATAGAAGTCAGGAGAGAAAATTTGAGGAAGAAAATCAGAAACTTATGAAGATCATGGAGTAGAAAAAGCAAGGGGAGGAATTAGAGAAGTGAGAAGAGAAAATTTGAATGGGGAAGTTTTCTTTATTCTCAATAATCAGTCAGAGCTAAGGCTAGATGACAAAACAACTAAGACCCTTATATATGGTAGCTAATATCATTGTTAATCAGCTTGTCTCTTTCCCTTTAAACCAGATATCTTCAATGTCATAGAATGCTGGTATAAATCTAGATTCTCTTACTTAATTCCTGCTTTAAATAGAACAAAATGGTTTGTTTTGACTATTTGCCATAACCAATCCTCCACAATATTTGCCATTTTCTCAAATACCTCATTTTCGTATGGATGAACTAGAACTTGGAAGCCCCTAAATACCAAGCCAACCTTTTCAGCTAGGAAGTTGATGTAGACCATATAGGATGCAAAGGGATATTTAGTTCTTATCATTCTATATTTTAGGATTGAGTGTCTTAGTTATTTCAGTCTTTATTTCATTGTTTCTTTGTTTAATTAGGATTAGAATATTCCATGTTTCATTGCCGTATTAGGATTAGAATCATTAGAATTGGATTTGGTTTCTTTAGCCTATAAATAGGTCTTATTTTTGTTGGAATATAAGAGAGTTGATGATTAATAATAAGATTGTGATAGGAACCCACTCCAATAATTCAATAATTTGGGTTGGGCCATGGGTCTTTCATGGGCTTGGGTAGAACTCCCCTTGGAAAACCGGCTTGCCAAGGGAGGGTGCCCAAGCCTTTATAACCCGCATGCCCACCATTTTCCCTTTCAATGTGGGATCCTAACATTCCCCTACGTTTTGAGACCCAACGCCCTCGTTGATCTTTTTTCCAGAGAGCGCCCGCCCTCATCGGCCTTTACTGTCGTCCCTTTGGGTCTTACTTCGCCTAGAAGCCTATCAGCAACTCTCCTTCTCGACCCCTCAGGGGGCCCACTGGGCCCTACTGCGTGGGCTCCACGTTGGTCTCTTTACCCCTTGGGTGACTTCGCAGATCCACTTTCCTTGGGGTAGCAACCCTGGCCCAAGGTCAACCTGCCACACGTGCACATGATCATGCTCTAATACCAATTGATAGGAACTCACTCCAATAATTCAACAATTTGGGCTGAGTCATGGGTCTTTCATGGCTTGGGTAGAACTCTCTTTGGAAAACCGGCTTGTCAAGGGAGGGTGCCCAAGCCTTTATAACCCACATGCCCACCCTTTTCCCTTTCAATGTGGGAATAATTGAGTATTGTTTCCTGGAATCTCTTGCTAGTTCTTCTTCTAAATATCTAATTCCTCTCTATCTTATTAATTCTTATATATCTATCTTGTTAATTTTTCTTCTGCTCTTATCAGAAGCTTAATTCCTTTTGCTGGGTTGCATGAATGATTCAATCTCTGTAGTAGTACTTCAATCTACCCTTGTGATAAGCTCCTGCCTATTTTCTTTATTTTTTTTTTGGGGGAAGCATTGATTGATTTGTTATCAGGATTTACATGCATCCCTTGTTCCCACCTGCATTTGTTGGTTTTTGTTAAACTTTCAAAGCACTTTAATGGGGTTATTAACTGTATATTTGCAAATTTGCAGGTACAAAAAGCTATTATCCAGTGTAGATTTGACCGAAGATTTTTTCTTTAGCTATACATATCCCATCATGCAAAGTTTGCAAAAGAATGTGTTGTCAATGGGTGAGGAAGGTATGCCTTATGATAACATATTTGTGTGGAATGCATATCTAACGCAAGCCATTAGATCGAGGTGCAATAACACTATTTGGAAGATAGCATTAGTTCATGGCCATTTTAGGTAGGTATGTGGTTCTGTCAAATGGTTATATGTCTATTGATATAATTTTAATTTTCCACTTTAGATGATAATGAAGAAAGTAGATTTATTAGAATTAAAATGAAATTACAAATATAGTGAACCAACAGTCCACTAGATATCTACAATGTTTAGAAACTGAATAAAAGACTTCAAATTATTTTCACGACTGGGTCTCAATCTCTAAGAATAAATTAAAAAAAATATATCCTTAAATTATTTCGACACCAAAGCCCATAAATATCTAAGAATATAATTTTCTCACAAGAAAGGGTTAATGACAGTCACACCCATTGTAAATTGAAAAACTGACACTTTCCATACCATACTAATAACTACGGAAACTACCAAGAACACCCGCTGTCGTTAGATCTTTCTGTTAAATATGAGAGTTGACTGATTTTGACCTATGCAATTTTTTTTTTTTTCTTATTTGTCCATTTTATCCTTAATGAAATTTCTTTTAATTTCTATAAATTTAAAAATTAAAATAAATAATGCAAAAAATTCAGGAAAAACCCTATAAAATTTATGGATAACCTTTGAAAAAAATGATTAGTTTTACAAAGAATATATATTAACTAATATATTTAAAATTAGATTAAGAATCCAAAAAAAATTTAAAATATTGCAAGAAATTTAAAAACCTTTCAAAAACTATTTATCTATTCCAAAAAATATTTAAGCATACTGAAGTTATACAGAAAAATTAACGGCATATGAACTTAGCCTCTTCTTCATTGTTTTAGAGGCAAACATCATTAATCATCCTAGAAGTTTTGGAATGGTCAAGCCAATGGTAAATTTGCAGTTTTTAATTAATTTGTCTCCCAAAAGTTTCAAAAAATTATTCAGAAACACTCCTTACGAATAGATTCAGTTAATTTAGCATTAGTTGACCTTTAAAAAAGCTTAAAATTTCTATTTTACCCTTACTCTTACCTTAGCAAAATAATGAAAAAATAGTAATGTATGACTAAAATACCATATCCACAAGTGATAAATTATAAGAAAGATATTTATGGCACTTAATCTAAAATAAAATCATATAATATATTATTATAATTATTTATTTCAAGTTTTTTTGTGCTATACAAAAATTTATTTAATCAAAAATTTTCTCCAATGTGCTTTCTATCTTTTCTATTGCTGTATCATTTTAAATATATCTGCACAATGCAGTTGGCTTCTTGTATTTCTGCTTATGTACTTTCTGTATACGCTTGTTAATTGGTTCAAAGTGTGATAGAATATAGATTGATGATGGCAGACTAGGCTATCCATCTTTGGAAGGGATTTCAGCGTTTCTCTGATTTCTAGACGCTCGCGGCATTTTGCTGGAACACGGTACTCTTTGGTTTGAACTCATGTTTATTTGTTCTTGAAATTTTAAATGTCATTTAAACTATTGGGCTATGTGAAACAAGTCTTCTAATATTGCCTACATGGTACAGAGTTGCTTTAAATTTTCCTGAATTATCTCTAGTAAGCATCACTTTGGAAGAACTTTTAGCGGTAAATCCAGTTCATGATGGCTTAGGATTATTTTAAGTGGCTTAAAAAGGTGGTTTCCGACCTTTTTTTTTTATGCATAATTGTAGGTCGTTCTTTCATGGATTCCAATCGTTATCTAAAAGGGTTTGTTTTCATTTGTATTTTGAATTACCTAGTACAATTTGAATTTTATGAAAGTTTTTAAGTTACCTAAATATGAAGCCACACGTGTATGGTTTCATGTAATTTCTATCCTCAACTGAATAAGTAGGCAAGAAACTTTGGTTATTTCCATTGCCTGAATTGTTCTCTTCATTCTTTATCAAAATTTTCCATCTTCAAAACTTTGAGAAATTTCTATATCAATCCTCTTTGCACTTTATTTTAACTTTTTCCCTCCGTGTGCGTCAACAAGTTTTTAGTCAGAGCTTGACTGTACATCAGCAAAATTCTCTATCAATCCTCTGATAGAGGAGTGTAAGCAATATAGAGAGAGTAAGTGAATGATAGAGAGGACAGAAGTCAGGGGCTATGTTTATTTTTTGTTTTTCTCATTTTTCTGTTACCGATAACAAACGATTTTTTTTCTTATTTATTTCATGAAATCTTTCAAATCAACTATAGGAAATGCTTCAAAGACCATAAAGGCTTCACTTAATAATAAAATTCAGGGAATATTTCCATTTTGGAAATGTTGTATTCATTACACCTTTTATGGTGTTTTATATTTAATAGTTATTATTGTCCATAGTTACTTGAAAAGGGGAGTAAATGACCGAGGAAGAGTTGCGAATGATGTTGAAACGAGCAAATTGTCCTTGATGAGGAACTGGGTCATGTAAGGGAAAAATGAGTTCTGTGGTGCAGATGCGTGGTTCAGTTCCCCTTTTCTGGTCCCAAGAAGCTTCTAGATTCAGTCCTAAGCCTGATATTATTTGTAAGAACATTGTTTAACACCTTTATTTTATTATTATTTTTTTTGTTTTAAGTATTTTATGAAAAATCTTTCGATGTTTCCTTTTTCTTTTCCTTCTTATTTTAGTACAGAGGTTTGACCCACATATCAAGCAACTAAACTGCATTTTGAAGACCTGGCAAAGAGATATGGCAATCCAATAATTGTTTTAAATTTAATAAAGGTTACTTTCAATTACGTTTTGTGCAACTTGCTTTCTTATACTCTTTATATTCTCTTTATGCTTGCATGTTTGCTAATAGAATTTTTGTTGGTGAATTAATTTTTCATTTTTGTATTGACCAAAATTTAAACAACATGATGATTATTTTCTGCCAAACGTTCGCAAGCTTATAATTAATCAATTGCTGAGATTAGTTACTTAGTCTTTAAATATGCTATTTTCGACCAGATTCCTTTGTCAATGGTCTGTAAACAACATGGGTATTTCTGGATTCAATATTATTTTGTCATTGTCACGGTGGGAGTAATACATGAGGGCTGTATGCATGAATTGTGTGTGTTTGATGGAACTAAATATGAGGCTGAAAACAGAAAATGACAAAACTGTATAGGATCAAGGTAAATTTGATTGATCTAGTTCTCTAAGAACCTGTTGATAGTGTTAGATCCCATATTGGAGAGAAAATGGCGGGCATATGGGTATAAGGGCTTGGGCTCCCTCCCTTGGCAAGCCGGTTTCCAGGAAAGTTCTACCCAAACCCACAAAAGATTCACCGCCCAGCCCATTCTATCAAAGGCCCAATACCGGCCAATGCATATCAATTTGATTGGTTCCTATCGGATAGAGAAGTAGATAATTTTCTTCTTTTATTTCATAGGTTTTTTTTTTTTTTTTTTTTAATTTACTTCAATCAATCAAATGAGGGAGATGGAAGAATATGGATACGTTTTTTCAGGTGTTTCTTTAGCGAGTTTTTCTTTAAGTGCTTGCTGATTGGTTTTTTGCTTTTTATTTTTTATTTTTTTGACTCTTTTGTATGACGGTGGGTGTTGCCTAGGATCATGTTGTTACTGTGTATGTAATTATTGACTGTAAAAATCATCAGTGCATTGTGCATTGAGTGTTTCTTTCTTTCCTAAATTAGGTGTATAATGATCGGAAAGAAATAGAACTTAGTGATGCTTGAAATCTGGATTTCAACAGATAGGTGCTATTTCTTTGTTGTTGTAGGTTTCAGTTTTCAAATATATAATACCACCAGAAACCTTCATATGGAGGTCTTTGTTGAAAAGAAAAAAAAAAAACTACTACAATTGGGCCAAACCTTAGGAAAAGTAAGTGAAAGTATGTCTTCATGTTTGTTTGTTCCAGTTCTTATTTATTTCATTAACTGCAACTTCGCTATGAGGGTTCTCCCCCCATCCAAATATTTGTTTTTAAGAGCACATATAAATGTAGAAAGACATTCTGATGTAACATTTTCTCTTTTGTCTTTGTCAGCCTTTATATATTAGTTGCTTATTAAATCATTTCTCCACGTTTAAATACTTTTTTGGAGCTCATTTACATATTAAAATGCAGACCGTTGGGAAAAGGCCGCGAGAAATGATGCTAAGGCGTGAGTTTGCAGATGCAGTTGGGTATCTTAACACAATTCTCCCAGAAGAAAACCAAGTTCGATTTATACATTGGGACTTCCATAAGTTTGCAAAGGGGTAATTATGTATTTTATCTCACAAAGTAATCATCATCCAATCTAACACAAGAAAGAAGCTGCATTTCATGTCAGCTAACCTTTTTTTTTTCTTTTTTTCTTTTCTTTATCTTTCTTTGCTGATTTCTAGCAAGTCTGCTAATGTTTTAGCTATTTTGGGTGGTGTGGCAAGTGAAGCACTTGACTTGACTGGTTTTTTCTATAGTGGTAAACCAAGCATCGTCAAGAGGAAAACCAACCAACCTAGTCAAACTGGAAGGTATTAACTTGTGCTCTAGGTATTAGATACTTTTGATAAATAGTTTGAACATGTGTAGTCTTCTTTAAGAGTTTTGGTACATAAATCTTTCCCCATTACCTATTATTTGCGGCAAAACCTTTTGTCCTGAAGCAATTTTCCCAAAAAATCCTTTCCATGCATGTAAGCAGAATATATGATTTCAAAGGTAGAATAAACATAGTCCTGACTTCTTGGATAGTAAACTAAACTCTTTTCTTTATTTGGCACTGTTGAAATGTAAAATAGGAAATAGAATTATTCTCTTTGTAATATAGGAAATAGAATTATTCTCTTTGTAATATAGGAAATAGAATTATTCTCATTGTAATATAGGAAATAGAATTATAATAGGAATGTAACAATTTACTTCCTAAATTAGTTTTTTTGTTTTTTCTATAAATTCATTGTACATTTCATTATGAATATACAAGAAAATATTTCTCCACATGGTATCAGAGCCGGGTTTCTAAAATTTCAAAAAAATTTCAAAAAAATTTCTCTTTCTCGGATTTTTTTTTCGGGCGACTGTTCTCCGGCAACGATCAGAATCTGGTCCAATCACACCGGATTGATCTTCTTCTCCTCGTCGTCCTAACCCGAGTGGTTTCGTCGTCAGCCGCCGCTGCACACTCCCTCACAAGCCGATCGTTTTCCGACAGCCCTTCCTCTGATCTGTTTTTCCGATGAGCGTGAGTTCTCACGACCACCGGC